GGTGTGTATGTGTGTGCAGAGGCACTTTGTGAAATGCCTCTTACATATGATCTATTTTAATCAAATAGGTGATATGTTAATCTCACAGTATGAGATTTGAATACCATCAGTTATTTGATTTTGAAAAGAGCATGTTGCGCATGTACCACTGTTGGCCGGCTCATTGTGTCGAGCTGTTCATTGTGACCTTACATCACAGTGTCTCTCCTGATGTGTGCCTCTCCCCCTCCTTTTCTGTTTCCCACCAGTGTCTCTTTAGCAGGCAGCACTTAAACCTCTTATTGAATTCAGAATCGCAGCAACATCCGCAGAGCCTCACATCTCTTCGCAGCGTCTATTTGAGAAGCAGTAAGCGAGAGAAAGCGGGAGGGAAAGATTAGAGTGTCACACGCACACACACCAAAAATCTGCACAGGGCGAATCAACCCGCCGGTGTTGCCATGGTGACTGCGGTGTCTGCAGAATGGGTGTGATTCAGGTCGTTAGTGTTCTTAAGGCATGCAGAGCGGCCGCTGTTTCCAGCGCTTCTGCCGGACAATCGCCCGCCTTGTTCCTGCCCCTCTCCACACAGATGGAACGAGGACCGAAGGGGAAATGAAGTGTTCTCTCAGTCCATTCACACACACACACACACACACACACACACACACACATTAGCCACACACAGCAGCCTTACAGCCACAGCTGTGTGCAGTGCCTCCTCCCTGCTCTATGCCCCCTTTCGCTTTGCTACAAGTGCCCAATTGGCTTTAACAGTGCTAAATACACGCACAACGTGTAATACACATCCACTGTCGATTTGGCATGCAGTTCAAGCCTGGAAGCTTTGTTCTTGGCCTTGAATTCACTCTCTAGCCTTATCCAAATGATAATGTCTGTATTACAATGGAGTTTGTCTGAAATTGGAGCCTGTGTTCAAGGTCATCAGTGGTGAATTAGCAACAGTGAACCCAAGATGCAGGCAGAGCAGAACACAACTCTGCTGTGACACGTGCCAAAGCCTTGCTAACGTTGAAAGGCTGTTAATATCCGATTCTGCACAATAGCAAAAAACAGCAGGAGGCAAAGCCCTCTGAAGAAAAGTAGCCACTCTGTATGGCAACCGAAGGCACCTACAGGCATGTTCCTGATTTCCTGCTGCATCACCATGACGTCTCATAATCTGCTTTTGAATGCGTTATTATAAATCAGATACCTCTGGTTCTAAAATCTGATTGGCATAGCTGTTGTTAAATACTTTATATGACTGCACAAATCAGTTGAATTCTGTATTATTGTGTCTAGTATATATGAGGTAATCTGTGCTTGTTATGTTGTCTGTGTTGCTAGATAGTTTACTGTTAACGAACTATATTGCTTAACAGAAGAATTTGTTGCATTAATAAATATTTAATGTGTTTTATTATGATGTTGTTTGTCACCATATAGTGATTTATGATTTTACCCTTTATTAACTCAATGGAAATCAAATGGCATGTTGCTTTAATATGCCAGGTTTAAAAACCGTGTAGTACATGGTAGCATCATTATCCTTCATGTATTCATATGTATTCATTCATTTGCAAATTTTTGCATACAGTTCTCTTTCAGTTTTCCTTTTTATATTTGGAAAAGACAAAACAATAGGATATATAGCTACTCTCAGTTATCTTTCAGAAAAAAAATGCTTCAAAAGACAGAAAGCCTATCACAAGACACAAGGCGTGAATTATAAAGCTGAAGGCGTGTAGGAAAGCCCCAGATCACAGTACAGGTGGTAGTTCTGTCACCTCCAGAGTGTCTGTTACCTCCCCCCGCTTCTATTTTCATGCTTCCAGAGTCTGCCGCACATGTTGCTCATACATGCTGCACTACTCAACATTTTTATCCAGCGGGTCCATGTTCCTATGGCATTTGTAAGCATTTGCACAAACATGTCAGTAGCATTTTATGATTGTTACAAGAGCCAGTCAGAGACTAAGAATTTTCAGTGCTGTTTGATCGAGTATGGAAACACAGAGATAGATTGAAGCCTTTTTTTTTGACAAACGGGGGGGTTGCTGTCTCTCTGTCAGAGGGTTTTATGAGCTTTGTTCTGTAAACATATGAGCCTGAGGTGATGTGTGTGATGGCAAGTGGTGATGGTGGGGGTGACGCCAAGTGTGTCTGTGTTGCTGCAACAGTGACAGGTGTGTGTGTGTTTGTGCGTTTCATAAACTTGTAATTCACTGTTACAGTTGCTATTGCTCGCACAGATACTGTAATTTGCCGTCACGGGTGAGATAGTAATAATAATAGTGAATAAGCCTGTACCTCTAACAGAATCCTCTTATTTGGGTAACCGTGTGGAAAATAACCGAGGTAGGCAGTTAAATTTGGTAGGAGTTGAAGTTGAAGCTTACTCTTAGTCAAATAAAAACATAATTATAATGCATTTGAGTAAATTTGTAGTTGTAGTATACTGTTGTCATCAATTTGTCCAAAAAACTCTAATTAATCTAGAATGATCTAAGTTACACAAACTGTCCAAGGCTGAAGTGTCTACAGATGCAATAAATGAGGCATTAATTAGCATCAGTACTGATACTGGTATGGGGTATACCCTAGTATTAATGTAGGATATCTTATCATCCAGCATATTTTAAATGTTAAGGTATGTTTATGTGTGGAAATGCTAGTGTCTTGCTATGCTTAACATGAAATAAATTAGTACATCAGCAATGTTTTTATCACTGGGGTCTGTTACTGTGGTAACTTGGTGAACTGTCACTGGGCCCATGCCTAATGGCAATAGAATACTCTTAGAATATTTGCTGTTCAATGAAATCCTCATATCTCTGAAGTGGTACGTTTATAAGGGAAAGTAAAACATTCTTAACATCTGTCAACATATCATGAAGCTTAGAAGGTTTGCTTTCCAAAATTGGTATCGGTCCTTGGTCTTGAAATGTTTAGACAAATAAAAGACTGCTGGCCTTTCCACATGCTGTAAAAGTATAGCAAAAGAATACATGGATTTAGAGTATCTTCTTAATGTCGGCGTTTTTTCTTTATGTTTGGATTGTATCCTGTTTTCAGTAATATCTTTTAGAAAAGTCATGTTTTAGCCTTGATATCCGCCCCTATTTTTGGCCATGCCTTTTATGCTGGTTGCTGATGATGAGAATGTAGCTGACTCACAACAAATACCCAGAGACTAGCTGATCTCTGTGACTCAGACAGTCAGGCAGACCCGCTTCGTGTACTTTCAGCATTATTTGCTGTTATTACATTTGCCCTTGGCGTCAGAAATCTCAGCCACAGTGTTGGATCAAAATGGAAAATCTTAAAACATACTAGCAGTCATTGCAACGTTTTCAGTGTTACATTTAGGGCTGTAAATTATATTGTTTGTAGTGGCCTTTGGAAATGTGTACAGCCCGTTTTTGGTGTCAAAGTCATCACATAAATGTCTAACCAATAAAAACATCTGTCAGTTCCCGTTTTTACTCTATTCTGTCTCTGTGTTTAGTCTGCATACATCCTAGATTCCTCTGATTTTGAAAGGTTATCTCTGAGGCATTAGAAGAGCAACACAAGAGCACACTGCCTGTTCAGTGCAAGACAAATCCAATCTTCTGTCATCTAAGCCTCTCTTTGCTTACCTTAGCCCCTTGTTGCCTATTAAAATTTGTAGCAGACTTGAGGATATGATTCTGCAGACACAGATGACACTCTTGGATTAATAACTCAAAATGTTTTTATTTTAGAAATCATTAAGTATGATTTACTTGTTTAGATATTGGTCTGACTTATGCAAAAGTGATATTTCTAATTCATGCCATTATCAATTTCATTGTAGTTTTTAACTGTAATTGAAGTGAAAATAAAAGACTATTACAAGTGCCTTGGAGCAAACGGTTAGTCCTGACAGTCTACAGGCTTAGGACAAGGACTGCACTGGCGCCCAGTTCAACCAAGCTGGACCTGGTCCAAAGCCTAGTTTCACTCCAGTAGGGTGTCCATTACACGTTTTACCAGTTCGATCGAACTTTAATAACCCTGATCTCCCTCTGTCAGCGCTTGAGGCCTGCAGCAGAGTCCAGCTTAAAGAACCATCGTGAAAAAGAAGCAGACTAAGTCTGTGGACTCCATATTACACTGAAGAATAGATAAGCAGCTTTGAATGTCTAGTCAGCAGGACAGAGGCACTCTGCTTAGAGTTCTCTTTGAGACTGATAGGAAGGATGTGGCCAGTTGAACTAATTTCCATTCTGATACAGTGCCTTTTTGTACAGTAAATGTTCTTCCCCTAGATATTTAGACACAGACCTTTGATCTTTCTACACATTTTACACATCAACATGAATACAGTAATCATTCATGGGCTCCCTGGTGTTATAATATGTACTTGCTTTTCAAGTTCCTGACTGAGGATGCAACCCTCATCATTTTCACTGTTTGCTGCAGACTAAACCTCACTTGAAATATATATTTGCTCTCGTAACAAAATCTCTAATGTCCAAAGTGGTAACTTTAAGAGAAGGAACATGTCATTAAATGTTTGAACAATGCAACCGTTGTTTTCAAATGAATTTTTTTTTATAAATAAATAAATACTGGGAAAGAATTTATGAAGAATTATTAAATGTTGACAGCACCATTAAACCTTGTAACCATAATAAAATTTGGTGTTGTCATAATTGTCATTTGTCATAAATAATTGTGATTTAAGGATTTAATCATCCTTTCTGTTACGAAGTTGAAATACTAATCGACCCAACTGAGTGAAAACAAAGAATAAAGACTGCCTGGTGGGACCTTTATTTGTCTTTGTTTTACTAGTGTAAAAAAACTGTAGCCACACAAGCTCTGAGGAGGCCATTAAGGCACTTGGTATTGATTGCCAATTGTGGGATCAGTGACAAGTGAAGAAGTGCTGACTGTGACAGCAGGTAGTACACACAGCTGAGTGAAAAGTAGAAGGACTGAGCTGCTAAATGACAGTGGTGTATGTGTGTTTCTTTTCTCTTTGTTTCTAGGAGACCCTGCAGCAGCTGGTGATGATGCCTCTGCCCAATGTGCTGGTGCTTGGCAGGACCCCACTTACTGGTAGGTGTTCTATACAAGCTGACACCAAATGCTGGGTAACAGCCCAACCCCCAGCATTTGATATACCTGCTTACACTGCATTTGCAGCATTATACAGTGGGACGTACCCACAGAGGATTTTCATAAAGGGGTGCTAGGAGTCTTTATGGACTGCAGATCAGCACTTTAGGTTAAGATACATTGTGAGTACAACATCACAGACCTTGAAGCACTCCCTTTTTTATTTTTTCCAGTGTTAATTTTAGCCAGTTTCTGTTTGCTGTAGATTTTCCTGTTGTATGATACCTACCACTCATTACCACCTAGAGAGAGTGAAGGCTAACAGATGCTTCCTCCATGTCACGTGGGGCCAAACATCATTTAAATCTGTTTCTTACACTTTAAAGGGGATGCAAGTGGTACAGTTCAGTCTAGGTGACATAACAGAAGCTGTTATTATTCTGTTTTGCTATTTTGGCTCATTTTTAGAAAAAGGGTGGAGCCATTTAAAGCAGCAACATACAGTGCATACTTAAAGTTAACACCCTTACCTGTTTCTAGCTTACAGACTCAATTACATTGTGCTTCAGATACAAATTTGTTTACATGTTACAATTTAAGCACATTAGTCTAATGAAAGTTTGGTGATCTTATAAAATTTTCCTGTTACCCCAAACGTAGTTAATATAGCTAACAAGTAATGGAAGCTTATAACCACCAGTTAGCTTTGTGCTAACTGCATGCTTAGATCACACATTTACACACCTCACACTGAGTCAGGTTAATCTCAGACATGCTTATATGGTTTCTGACACTATTTAGATATACTATTTTGGACAAAAGTGTGTGCAAATTTCAGGTTTTAGTTATGTGATATATGTACTGTTGTCCATTTTTATAGTACATACTACAGCAGTGATGTAATTTAAGTATGGTCCTGACACAGTCATGAAATGTTGAAGCTGAAAATAAGTGCCATATAAATAATTGCAACTAACAAGTTGATTGTCTTTCATTGTTTTGTTGTTTGCAGCTGCAAAATTACAGGCGTAATTGTGGCCATATTGTTTGACTGGCTATATTGCTTTCTAGCTATCCATACTTCATAGCTCCCAACTGATGACAGACACAGCTTGAGTCGTAAATTATTCACCGCCGTACTCTAAAGCTGTTATTAACAAACTGCAAAAATTCACTTGATTTATTTAATGTTATTTTGTAACACTTTTCACAACTTGGAAAACAGTTAAGTAGCTTTGCACACATGGCTAATTTCAATCCTGTGAAAGGGATTTTAGGAGTCACATACTGCTATATAAAAGAAAATCACATTTTCTCTTTGTAGTGAAGTGGGTTTAACTAATATTTACCGGCTGAACAACCAGTACTGTAATTTACATTAGACTGTTCAGACTTAAATTGATATTTTATGTGACTGTAACCAAGAAGAATCTGTATTAGTCTTCTGTGATGTGTGCCTCAGTGGCTTTGCAGAACAGTTGTGCGCCATCAGAAAGTGCTTGGCCATGTGGCTTTTATTACGTAGCTATTAGAGCCCGGTGGGGGATGGGAGCATTATCAGCTCAGTGGGAATCCACCCTGGGCTATGAGGAGTTAGATCCTGATGAAATCTCACTTCTCTCACTCTCTCTCACTCACTCTTTGTCCCTCTGTATTTTTTCTCTCTCTCTTACACACACACAAATTCTTAGTTTCTTCCGGTCGGTCTCAGTCTTGCTCTTAGTCTCTCTCTCTTGCTCTTAGTCTCTATTTCACTCTCACTCTTAGTCTCTCTCTCTCTAACTCTTGCCTTTAGTCTCTCTCTCTCTGATGCGCTCTCTTTTACCCTTTCCCATCCACCATGTGAAATAGAAGTGTGTCATGAAACAGCCAGACTGTCCTTGCTGGCTGATCATGTCATCTTACCCTTATGTTGCAGCTTTACTCACTCACTCTGGACTATATTGACTCACATGGCTGTCTGACAGGTGTCCTGTTTACTTGTTTTTAGATCCACACCAACAACTGGGTAGGACAGAATCGCTGAGTCATGACAGGTGCACTTTAGTCGTAGTGTCAGCGTGAAGAAAGTGTGGGTCAACACTAAGGTAGCTGAAGAATTGTCCTAAGAAGAATTCTGGTTACTGTGTGGAACAAGGATCAGATGTCAGCGTAGCTAACATGACAAATACTTTTACAGCAGTACACAGTTTACAAAATTTTCCTCTTGGTTTAAATGTAGTCGATCAGCCAGTTAGTTAAGTATCTGAAGTTTGCTTCTTTAATTTTGCACTGAAGCTGTAAACCACAAGCGGTGTGACGTACTGTTCTCCATACAAATGTACCAAAGTAGAATTAGGCTACAGGATGGCTGATGCTATTGTTTTTAGCTATGCAACATACATTTGTGCATTTTTATGTGTCATAGCATCAGAAACCACAAAAGCAAGTCTATTTAAAATTCCTTAACAGCTTAACACAATTTGAGGCAAGTGTATAATGGCTTAAGCATGCAGTTTGTACAGTGCTAACTGGTGAGGTCTAAGCTTGCTTACCATAGTAGGCCTAGTAGCTCTAGTGCAAAATTGAAGAAGCAACTTTAGACATCGAACATGCCTTTGCTAAATGACTACATTTGTGCTAAGTGGAAAATTGTGTAATTTAATTTTCTAAGTTTTTGTTTGGCTTTAAACTCAGCTGCTTAATGTTCCCTTACATTGTTGCGTTTATACACATTTATGTCTGAAGCTCAAAGTGTTTCTGAGTGTGTCTGAAGCAGTAGGAACAAGCAGTGGTCTTAAAGGGGATTTGCACAAATTTGTCTACATCTCTTAAATAATTCATTTAGAGCCACCAGTGAACTTAGCCGTGTAAAATATTATTGAATCTGAAGAAGTAAGTTTGTTTTTGGTACTCTTTTGCCGGAGAATGTGTGTACCTCTCTGCCGTGAATGGATTAGGCCAAAACTTTATCTCAAAATTATCATAAAACACTGTCTTGGGCATGAAGCAACGTATTCATAAATATTTTATGTAGCAGCTTTCCATGGGGGAGTTTTAGAGATATTAAACTCTTCAGATGTTATATTCTCATCACTACCACGGTGAACAATTCTGACAGTTTGCCTAGAAAGGAGCTTTTCACATGAAACCATTCTGACTTTGTGTACTTATTAATAATTTAATTCTGAAGGAATTTTGAAAAATCAGTGGAATTCTCTTTTAGGCCAGAAAATGCAAGTTCTCTCATGGTGCATCATGGCTGGTATAGGGCTAGGCAAAAAAATGTTAACAATAATTATTGCGATATAACTTTGCTCGATAGAAGTATAAGAAATGTTCGATAAATGTTCGATGTGAGAATAGACCATTCTCACACTTCCACATTTTGTGACAGCCCTGGTGGCGTTTTCTACTGCAAAGAAAGTGACACTACTCTGCTGTCGCCACAAGAGGGTGCACTTCCAAGTTTTTCGACATGATTAGAGAGGCGGGGTCAAGGAGTGAAATTAGTTGGCAAATATACTTTAGCAACGTCTGAAACGTGGAGTTATACATTCCCTGTTTGAGTGGAGTGATTGCTAAACTGTTCTCCTGTGTCCAAGTGTGAGTGACGAGATAAGTGGTGTATCTGTACTATCCTTCAGTGAACTCTTCTTTCTGTACATCCTAACAAGCTTTAACAGCGTTAAATCATATCTGCTCCTCACAACTACAGCGCTGCTACAGCACTCAGACAGTCATATTTTAGTATTAGTGCATTGCCAAGCAACAAAAGTGAAACAAAGAAGTGGGTTCATGCAAGTCATACAGTCCTGATTTAAACGAAGGTAAACTGAAGATGTGTGGGAGTGGGAGAACGCTAGCTTCCCAGGCTAGCTGTTTTAGCAGCTGGCTAACTTGAAGCAGCGCTCTGTCACTCGCACAGCACAGCGAATTGATGTTACTGTAGATCAAACAAGACAAAAAAGCACTGATTTCAGTTTATGCATACCTAAAAGGAGGACTCTGTTTGTCTATTGCGAGAATCACACTGCAGTTAAAGAATTTACCAAGCGAGCGTCAGATAAATTGCAGTTCTTCCACCCTTTAAACTACTACAAATAGAATAAAGAAATCCACATTTCTGCAAACTGGTGTTCGAATACTGTGATGTGCTCTGATATGGATTTGCTAGGAGTGATGGCAGTAAGGCGGTGTGATCCATCACTGACCTACTGAGCCAGCTAATGCTTGCTGTTTGTTTTAAGCTAAAGTTGTTGAGAAACTAAACAGTTTAGCACTTGTGACCAGATAGCCTAGCACTTGCCACCAGACAGCTAAAAATGTTTTCTTTCTTAAATTATGAATATTACAAAAATTGCAGATGTGCTTTTCCAGCTGGAAAAAACCAACTCACCAGAAACTTTCTCCCACTATCCCCTGACAGATTTTTGAAATGTTCCACTGTTTGGCGAGTGTTTGTCATGTTTTGACCATAAAGGATAGTTTGAAACAGCAGTTAACCACTCAGGAGCAAAAACCAGCCATCAAACTTGCAAGAATTATTTGAATTTCATATCATTTTTGATTTTCATATCATTTCATAATGATATGAAATTTTTTTATCGTGATAACATTTTTGGCCATATCGCTCAGCTCTAGGCTGATGATATGTACACAGAATGTGGCCAAGTCCTGGAGAGCATAGGTGTTGAGAATCATGAGCAAGCATGAAGTAGACTGCTGATTTGTTTTTTTTTCTTCACCATAAACATTTATTTGTATATTTTTAATTAGTTTACAGACTTTTGACTGTGCATTTTATCCTGCTTACAATTTGTTTAACACTGTTATCCTAACACTAAATATTGAAATGCAAGCCTATCGTCACAACAGAAGAAAGTTAGTTTGCTAGGTTGTAACACAGTGATACAGGACCACAAATGTGGTTCCTGTGGCAAGCCCCGTTAAGAACCACTGCTGTGGATGATGCTGTCATTCATGAGGTAATATTGCACACTGACAGTGCAGGCGCAGGCTGAGCAGACCTGCAGGAAACTGGCATTATTAAGCACTGGGGACCCCCTGAGGAACTGTTTCCTCTTCCTGTTCAGCAGACATTGTTCACAGGAAGGGGCGTAGCAGGCCAGGGTTAGTCAGTGTCCCTCTGACCCCTTTGCTTCCTGTCAGGATGGAAGGACGATGACGAAAGAGCTCAGAGAAAAGAACTAGCAGTTCCGTCACACCAGACCCCAGAGATACTAGGGGTTGTGTCAGGCGAATGTTTTTGCTCCGTTTTAGAAGCTTGTCTCCATCCCTCTCCACTCCTCTCCTCTGAATCTTCTTGAATAATTTATATACTGCACATTAAAGCAACGGCTCCCTATCTTAAGCTAGCATGTGTGGAAATTTTAATTCCCTTTCTAAGCAGGTGTTTGTGCGTATGTGTGAGCAAGTATCTTTATATTCAGTAATTTAAAATGTATACAAAGCAGATCTGCTTTCTTGCCTGCGCAGCTCAGTATGGCTAGTTCACATTGTAAATCAACAAATTCTTTTTATGCCTTACAGTGCTTTGTCCTTCAGTACTCATTATCACTTCAGTGTCCTTTTCACAGTGTTAATTTCCTTTCTGATCTGATTTTAGCACGAAACTTAAGACAATGACTAATGTGTTTAAAACTCACTGATCTTCATTCCACTTGCTTGAACGAAACCTTTTTGAAAGTTTAATGAATGCGGACTCAGCTCTCACTGTTTAACAGATTATGAGCAGCCTTCACCAGAATATTAATGCAGAAAAAGAAAAATATACAGCGAAGTTGAGGGTGTTCCACAGACCTGGTGTGTGTTTTTCCATGCACCCGTATATAGCCACCCTATCCCTATCTGGCAGCCCTGCTACTGCATTTGGTGGTAATCCGTGCTGCTTTTGGCCTGGCAGAATTAAATATGGGTCACTGATGGAGAAAACATTCATGCTTCAGTGTTTCTGTTCTTTTTTTCAAAAACATCCTGTTAGCTAAGCTGTTGCCTCTCCGAGTATCCTGTATGTGGACTAGTGAGAGAACAGATTCTGCTTTGGGAACAAATTTTCTCAGAAATGGCAAAGCTAAATGCCATTTTAGTGAAAATTTTATTTATATTTTCTGTATTTTCCAGCACATATCTTTTCAGTATTGGTACAGGATGTAGATTTTGCAGGTGCATCTTGCCCACACAGATGCTTCACAGTTTTACTTACACTGTAGTTAAACAGCCCTACCCTCTAAGCCGTTTGTTTATTTGTAATTGGCCACTCTCTGAGCTCCACCCCTCTGCGCACCAGCAGACTAATCGGAGCCAAGTGGCCCAGTTGGAGGAACCACCTGCCTCTTCCTCTCTGAGGGCACAATCCCTGTCTAATTCTGCTATGTTAACACTTCATCTCCCACAGCAGCTGCCCTGCTGGTCTATCATGTCTGAGGGCGCCATGACAGCGTGTTCTGCTCTTTTACACCTTAGCCACTTCCATTGCCGCTGTTGTGGACTTTAATATCAGTTGTTTCTTTTCTGTTTGTTCTTTGAACGGCTTCAATTTGTTATTTTTCTGGTAATTCCAAGATTATAATTTGAGCTGTGTTTATGTTTTTCTTTATTTTCAGAGCAAGGCTTGGGAGAAGTGAAGAAACTGTTGTTGCTCTTGCTGGGTTGTGCTGTCCAGGTGAGGCCACAAATGCTCACTAAAGAGCAACTGTGTTTGTAAGTCTCTGAGAAGCTCTAGATTGTGTTAAGTGGAAAGTGAAGTACTTGCTAACACCATCAGCATGACAGGTGGCAGTGGTTGGCAGCAGGCCAATCCTGATATCTGTGCAATAGACTGTCTGCAACACGGGAAGGCCGCTCTGCTCTAACCCCTGAACACACACATGCACACATATAATAGGCTTACTTACACTGTATGAGTAGAGGAGAGCGGGGAACAACCTAATGCTTTTTTATGCCAAGTAATAAAAAAATATTTATGAAAGACTAATAATGTTTTTACACAAGCTACCTACATATCTCTGCTAACTTTTTTTAGGTGACAATTGTTTGTAGGCAATTCAGCTAAAAGTACCATGAGTGCAAATCAGTTATGTTTGATTTATGTGACCTGACTGTTTATCAATAGTATATTTTTAACAAACCTGTTATAAAGTGTTGTAATAAAGTAACAGTTTTGATTTTATGGGGGTGGGAGGTACGGACTTCTCTCATTGTTTACTTTGGGAAGCTTAGTAATAACCCTGTGTTAAACCTAACCCTGCTGTGCAGAGGCTGCATTTGTGACTTTTCTCTGACTAGCTCTCATTGTGAGTTAATTGTATAATTCAAAACCAAGCTACATTATGTGGCCAAAAGTATGTGGACACCCCTGCTAATTATTAAGTTCAGTGGTTTCAGCCACACCCACTGCTAACATTTTTTTTTTAATGAAATCAGGCCCATAGCCGTGCAATCTCCATAGATAAACAGTGGCAGTCGAACTCTACTGAAGAGCTCAGTGTCTTTAAACATGGCACTGTTTGTGAAATTTCTGTCCTGCTTGATCTGCCTAGGTCAACTGTAAGTGCTTTTATTGTAAAATTGAAACGTCTAGAAGCAACAACAGCTCAGCCACAAAGTGGTAGACCAGGCAAACTCACATTGCATCAGAAGCTTCACAAAGTAGGTTTCCATGGTCAAGCAGCAGGCCTAAGATCAGCGTTGACTGGAGTGGTGTAAAGCACCTCGCCATTGGACTGTGAAGCAATGGAAATGTGTTCTCTGGAGTGATGAATTAAGCTTCACTATCTGGCTCTCTGATGGATGAATCTGGGTTTGGTAGATGCCAGGAGAATGCTACCTATAAGAATGCATAGTGCCAACAGTAAAGTTTGGTGAAGGAGGGATAATATAAGCAAGCTCATATAGGTCTGACGGTCAGGTATCCACATACTTTTGCCCATGTTACAACCCTAAGAAGGTTAATGAAAATAATACAGATGTGAATTCTCAAGACTTACAATTCAGTAATTGAAAAAAAAGGTTATTTTTGTGGTACACAAACAGCCTTCAGGGTTAATCTTTTCCAATTACTGTCCAATTTACTGTTGACATTGCTATGTTAATACAGGAATGTATATGAGAATGACCAGAAGCACATTCTATTTGAACCTGTTTAACTGCATAAAAAAGCCATTTTACCCTGTTTTCCCTTTTCCCCTACAGCACACCACCTTCAGCCTGCATCAGAGTCAAAACACTATAATGAAACAACAAAATACTCAAATTACATCCTCTATACAAATCGCTGTCTCAGCTATAGCTTTGTCTGCTCTGCTTGTTATGCTGTGCTGATAGCTCCCACTGACAGCTAGCTGAACCCTTAAATTTAGAGTCCGCTTCAAAGCCGAAGAGCTTGTAAGATAGTCACAGCATAGATTTGCATGCATTAAGTCTAAGCGTTTATTAAAATAGCTCATTGGAAATATAAAGAGACTACACAACGTTATAATTATGTTTGTAGTGAAAGTGTGGCTTGCTGTGTGTGTGTGTGCGTGTGCGTGTGCGTGTGTGTGTGTGTGTGTGTGTGTGTGTGTGCACATTCCTGTGTGGATTGCTCTACTGTTAATAATAATCCTAGCCAATGAGTGCATGTTCTGTATTGTATAGAGTTTGAACAGCAGTTTCTCTGCTCCTGCAGTCCCTTTTATGTCTTACACTGCCAGACTCAGTCTGTCTCCTTTCCCTGTCTGTTTCCAGTGTGAGGAAAAAGAGGAGTACATTGAGAGAATCCAGACACTGGACTTTGACACAAAGGCAGCTATTGCGTCTCACATTCAAGAGGTAAGAAGCAGCCCCCCGAAACAGTTCATCCCCTAGTTCTTGTATTCAGAGCTTTAATCAAGCCTGAAATTTTGAACTAAACTCAAGTATAACCAGAGGACATGCTGCTCAAGTCTGTTCTGAGCTGACTCACGGCATTGAGTTGAGAATCTGACTGTACACTGATAAAAGATAAAACTGTGTCTAAACCTGATCCCATCTTGCTGTTTGCTCTCATTCAATTTTGCAAACACTTGGTGCAAACAATACAAGTGACTCCAGTCCACCAGATTAAAAACTATGTATTGTAATAAAAGTAGGAATAAAGAATATAATAGGAACACAAAATGAAAACAGGAGTAAACGGAGACCAAAGTGAAGCCTCTGAAAAATCCAGTCACAAAGAAAAGTCAGGTTGCGTTGAACTTGGTTAAATCTTTCATTCTCTGTCCTGTATGAGTGTTGTTTGTTCTTTGTGTTCCCATATTTTGTACACTGCACTGATATTCTTGTGTGCTGCTGTTCTAAAGGTCACCCACAATCAAGAAAATGTTCTGGATCTGCAGTGGCTGGAAGGTGGGGAGTCTCCCCCTGATGACCTGGACTCTCTCTCTAGAAACCTGGCCTTCCACCTCAAACACCTGGTGGATGAGAGAGATGAACAGCTGGAGGTAAATGATAAAGCAAGCAGATTAACTACCACTGTTTAAGTTTGAAATAAATCACTTGTCGTTTTAGTCTTTTTTTTCAATAATGAGATTAAAATATTATGCACTACATTCCAGAAAGTTTTAATATTTTTATTTTTTGAGAACAACAGGAATTTATTCAGTGAAATACATCAATTTTCTATACATAGTAATTTCTTTTTAAGTAGTTATCAAGTCTTGATCACACACACTCACACACACACACATCTTCTAAGCCGCTTATCCTTCCGGGTCGCAGAAGCCTTGATAATCACCTTTCAAATGACATTGTAGATCAGGGGTGTCAAACTCAACCAGTAAATGGGCCATATTTAAAAATCGTATCAAATCTGTGGGCCAGAGAAAAAAAAAAATGTTAAAAAAAAACTAGCTAATATTAATAGAAAATTGAGATACTTTTGCAGGCCGGAAAGGATTGCGTGGTGGGTCTGATCTGGCCCACGGGCCTTGTGTCTGACACATGGGTTCTAGATGTTAATCTTTTTGTAATTTGATGTTGATGCAGCTTCCTCAGTTGTTGTGGAATTATCATCATTCATCATTCATGACGCATCTAAAATGTCTTTTAACAGCTACCTGCAGATTATTTGAATATAGTACAAGCATCATATACAGTACAGAGTAATGTAACACTTATTTGTGTAGGGTTACAAATGCAGTAAAATGAATAACATGCAGGTGTTTTAGCATAGTAGCCCAACATCACCTAAACATTCTGCTCTACTAGAGTATAATAAATGCATTATCAAACATCAGTGAAATCTAAACGTCGGTCTGTTGTCAATATATATTTGATATCTACATCAAGTTGAAAACTTTCAAGTGTTAATTCCACAATTTTAAACAGGTTTCTTCAGGCTGCTTGGAAATCATGCCTAGAGCAGCACTGAATTTTTTTTGTATACTTTAGACTGTTTTCATGTTTTGTTTAATCTCTCTTACCACTCCCAACCTGAGATTCCACACTACAAATTCAAATGAGTTGTGCCTGGCATTACTTGCACTGCAGCAGTGTTACTCTAAAAGCTCTAGAGTAACACTGCTGCAGTTTTAGAGTAACACTGCTGCAGTTTTAGAGTAACACTCTAGAGCAACTAGACCTCTACTTTGAAATAGTGAATTAATATTTTCAGCATCCAGTGTGAGTTTGTGAAGCGTATGTTGTGTGTTGGTTGATTCCAGTGAGGCTGATTAAGCTCAGCCCTCCCATAGTGTTACTGTGGCCTTTGAGGGCATTCCCAGTATCCTCTGCTCCTCTGGGCTTGGATAATGATCGCCAGAGCCCCACTTGTAGCCAGCCGCTGTTCATTAAAAAGCCATTCCCCTCCCCTGTCTTTCTGTCTGCTTTGCTGTCCCTCTGTCTCTTAGTTTTATTTGCTCTCTCTCTCCCTTCTCCTCTAACACGCTCTCTCACTGTCACCCACACATGCGCACACAGCCAGGAGGAGGGGTGAAATCGCTAATTGCAGATATGTTCGTAAAATGCCCTTTTTGTTGCTCCACATCCATTGTCACTGACATGGTGATCCCTCTCTAACCTTCCATAGCACAAGCCCCCAGAGCATGACTTCATGTCCAGTGCTTTTAGCCAGTTCTGGTAGCGCCCCCCTTATTCCGCTCCTGGTTTCAATTTAATGAAATCATCACGGCCGGCTGCTCAGGCTAGCGCAGCATAACTGCCCTAATCTCCTTCCTCTCCCTAATTGGAGACCTCACGCGGAATGGAGGAGGAGAATGCTGCTTATGTTGCCTGCAGAGTTTACTACTGCACTGTTTACATCCCCTCTCACAAATGCCTAAAATGGACCTTTCCTCATACACAGCCTGTCCTGCATTCTTCATACAAAAGAGAGTTGATAAATAAGAACATTGTATTGAGATCTAAAATCCAGTTTCAAACCATTTCATACACGCACAAAATGAACAAAATACCATTCTGCAATTATACTGATAGATATTGCAGTTGCGATATGTCTTGAATGTAAAACTCATTGCTAAACCTATGATGGGACATAATAAAAGACTTTCCATGTTATTTTGACGAAATGTATTTATTTTTCTTGGATATTGTGAATGCCTTGATTTATCCAAACTACCAACATTGAAACACTCATTAAGAAGGTCAGTCAGGTTGCTCACAGCACACAGTAGAATATAGAGAATTGTTAGAGGCTTATTTTTGTTTGAAGTTTATTATACAATCTACAGGTTTTTTTACATGAATTTCTTTGAAAACAGTACAGAAATGTGGTGCTTAATGTTTCACTTTATTTATTTTTTTTTTTTACTTTAATTATTTTTTTTTAAATAAACTCTAATTGTATATGATGTCTGCAAGACATTCCAAAAAAAGTTGGGACAGGAGCATGTTTACCAATCTGTTACATCAACTTTCATTTTTAACAACATTTTGCAGTCATGTGGGGACTGAAGACACCAACTGATGTTTGGAAGTTCTAAAAGCAGAATTTTTTGTTATTCTTACATTGTTTTTCAGCTGTGCAACAGTACAGGGCTTTCTTTGACATATTTTGTGCTTTATAATGCATCACACATTTTCAAGATCTGCAGACAGATCTGGACTGCAGGCAGGTCAATCTGAATCTTTTGATGACAATATGCACTGAAATACCTCAAGTCTGTGAAATTGCTTGTTAAGGAAAGTTGTTCTTAAATTGTTGGTTTATTTGCTGACTAGACTTTTCCTCAATGCTCCTTTTATACCTAAGCATGATTTTATCATTTTAGCTGTTTTTTAAACACTTCCGAACATTCCTAGTCTTTGCCCATGTCCAAACTTTTTTGGAAGGTGTTGCAGGCATTAAATCCAGAATGAGCAATGATGTTCATGTCCCAATGTTTTGGGAATTAGGTTTTATATAATATTGCAAAAGCCAGTATCTCTGTACTGGTTAACAAATGATATATCATGCAGCTCGTTTTGATAGAATTTGCTTTTGTTCAGTTCATTAATTACTTAAGAGTGTCTTTTTGCCCCCAGACCATTGTGGAGCTGACTCAGGAGAGAGACTGTGGTCACTTCTCGCCCCCTGCACCCAGCGCCCAGTCACCCAACGACTCGCCCAGTATGCGCCGCACTGAGAGCAGGCAGCACCTCTCCGTTGAGCTGGCAGATGCCAAGGCTAAGATTCGACGCCTTCGACAAGAGCTGTGAGTACAGGGCACACGATGCCCTGCATTTGAAACCTGAGTGCTGAATGCGATTTAGCAATGGGTTAAAGGTGACTCACATCTTTTACCTCTTTTTGTTACTTCTGATCTTAAAACTAGTGAAGCTATAGCAATTGCTTAGTCCCTTCTAGTCTTGACAAGTCCCAGCCATCATGACTTCTACAATATTCCCGTCAAGAATATTGATGCACAGTTCAGTGCTGGAATTGATGAGAGCATCACTTACAAATGAAAAAAACAATAAACCACATCTGATCACAATACAGTTGCCTGGAAGTGGACGTGATAGGCTAATGTGTTCTGCTTTAATAAATGAGTCATTTCTGTACCAATACTGTATCTTTTAAAACTGCTACAGTGCATATTCTTCTGCAATTTTGTGTAATGGTTCAACATACGCGGGCGGCACGGTGGCACAGTGGGTAGCGCTGTCGCCTCACAGCAAGAATAGCCTGGGTTCGATTCCTGGCTGGGTGACCAGGGTCATTTCTGTGTGGAGTTTGCCTGTTCTCCCTGTGTCTGCGTGGGTTTCCTCCGGGTACTCCGGTTTCCTCCCACAGTCCAAAAACATGCAGTCAGGCCAATTGGACATGCTAAATTGCCCCTAGGTGTGAGTGTGTGTGTGTGAATGTGTATGTCTGTCTGTCTGCCCTGCGATGGACTGGCGACCTGTCCAGGGTGTATCCTGCCTTCCGCCCAATGACAGCTGGGATAGGCTCCAGCACCCCACCGCGACCCAGAAGGATAAGCGGTTTAGATGATGTATGTATGTATGTATGTATGTTCAACATACAACCACACATTAATAATAAACCCTAGTTTTGTGACTAATAACATCAACAAGGGTACTTTTAATAAACTCATAACAACTGTACTCTGAAAGATTTTGATCAACTACTGCTATGAATTGTCTCAGCTTTTGACACAAATTAAAAAAATTATCCATCTTGTCCATGCTCACAACTGCAAGCAATTTCCTGTGAAATTCCTGAGAACAGCAGAAGCAGATTGTTGTGTCAAGACAAAAGGCCTGATGTTGTCAGAGCCGTCATTTTCAAAGCATTGCAGTTTCCCCGATATCTCAGCTTTGCCTTGTCTGATATGGTAAGGCCAGAGCACAAAAGCTTTTTGCAAGCTTGTAAATAATTGAACTTCCTCCTTAAGAGTACATTAACCTTGAGAGACAATGTACAGCGGTATGATTTAGAGGTAGCGGTCACTCAGATAGAGAAGCAGTTTGAAAATGAGAGGAAGTTGCTTTTAAGTGCTCTGTAGCCAGCCTTTTCAACCAGTGCTTGTCTAAAAGCTTATGAGATTGATGTTGTTATGCACTAGTCAGAGCTTGTTGTGTTCAATCAGATATAAAGCCTAGATGAAGACCAGCAATAAGCTTTTTGGATTCACAGACATTTGAAGCAAATAGTTCTGTTTCATTTATCTCAGCTAGTTTGAGCCTTCTCTCCCTGACACACATAAAGCGATGCCTAAAGTCTCTGTTAGATGCTGTTGGCCTAGTTATGCCCTGACCCTGTCACAGTGATGTCAGCAAAGTGAAGAATGAATCTACAAAGAAACAGTGGTGAGACGGAGCCGGCACTTGCCTCCACGGGGCCTGACACTGGATCAGATGTCTGGGGGTTTGGCCCAGATCAGATGATAATCTAGCATGTTGGATATTCTTCAAGTGTCTTTGACCTAGTTCCTGTGTGCTTTTCCGGAGCACGCAACTCTGCAGAATTGTTGTTTATCTTCAGATTCCTCCTTTGCGGTTGTTGTGTCCCATCCCCTCTGTTCCTCCTTCATGTTTGAAATATTGGAGGAGAGAAAGAGGACAGTCTATTTTCGTCAACACGGCGAAGCACTAAAAGAGAAATATTCTATTCTGCATTGCTGGACTCAGGCTGAGCAAGTTTTTGGTCTGTTCAGCATGTCTGTAATGCTAGGATAGGTCTGTAGCCTTAATCTTCTATACAGTTATAAAGCACCATGGTTTCTGAATTGATGGTGGCATTAGTTTGGCCCACATGTATAGCAGACAAAAAATATGGGGATGTCATTGTTGACATGTGTTTCCTCTACCACAGAGGATTTGCAGAGAGATGGTCAAATGTGGTGTTATTGAGGAAAGTACTGTGTGAGTGTGCATGAGTCTGTGCATGAGTCTGCATCCTCAGTTCCCATTCTCTTTTGTTAAAACCTTTAAGTCATTGGAATTACTCATACCTTGGGATCCCTTTTTGACTTTTGGCTGCTGTCTAGGTTTCATCTTCATTGCTTTTTTAGAGGTTTAGACTCTGATCTTTGTAAAGTGTCTTGGTGACTGTGCTTGTTCTGCGAAGCCCTAAACAAATACAGTTGGGATGAACTGAATTAAATTCAGTTGCCTGCCCCTGCAAGGCATTTCCAAGCTTATATATTGCCTTTAAGTGACTAAAGCCAGTGACGAGTGACTCATTTGCACTGAGACAAGTCATCTTAGGAGCAGTGACACAGAAAAGTATCAAAAATGCAGCGTTGAAAGCACTTGTCGAAGGAGTTGCCTCTTCCTGGGGCTTCTGGGAGTACCTGAGTCACCCCACATGTTCTGTCATGCTCTTTTTTCTGTTTTTACATCTAAAAGAACTGGCCTCTCTCCCCTTTCAAGCTTCATATTCAAATATAGTCGGGTAATTACACAGGCAAAATGTTATCAGGTACATATGATAATTAGAAATTAGTAATATTCATTGTTTATTAAAGGAACATGTCACCTAAAAATTCTGTTGTTGCTGATAATGAATGGAAGCAAATAGGACCATATTGTGTGTATTATGCAAATGGGTTCATGCTAACTGCTCCCCACTGGCTTTCCATCACTGTTAGCCACATTAGCATGATTTGGGGGAAGTATTCCTTTAAGAGCAGGAAGTGGCAGTTGTGTGAGAACAGTAGAGGAGTTTGTGCCCATTCTGCCAGATGCTATCAGGATGTTGTAAGGGGACCGTTGTAGATTTGCATGACCTCAAAGTGCTTTATTTATTTTATTTTTTTTTAATGCCAAGGCTGTTTGTAGATTCGCACAACTCCTCTCTTAGCCCTGATCGACATCTGAAACATAAACTTACCCCAAACTTTAACCTTGTAAATACTGAAACCATTTCTACTGTCTCTCTGAAAACAAAAGAGCCCTTTCTCAGCTTCTTCTTTCTTTCTTTTCATTCTGTTTTTTTTTATTCATCACATTATGTATTCCATTTAAAAGTCTCTACATTTTGGAGTCATTTTCAGGCTTTTATTACAGTTTTAGGAAGGGTGTCAGTGCAGTTCTTAATGAGCATAATAAGCACTGCTGTAAAATCAGTGATATGATCACAAGTGCACAGTCTCAATTTCAGATTTGAAATTACAGAGAAAGGGAGGACTGATTATAAAACGGATTGGATGGATAGATGAAGTGTGTATTTTAAGCCTTGTCTCTCTGTTCCAGAGAGGAGAAGAGTGAACAGCTAATGGACTGCAGGCAGGAGCTGGAGAACCTAGAGAAAGAGCTAAAGAGGATTCAGCAAGAGGTAGAACATCAGCACCTTACTTCATTATAGCCTGGATTAGTGCTCAACACTATGCAGACATCATCAGACCAACCATTGCTACACACACAAACACACACACACTCACGTACTTCAAAAATTATACATGCACCTTTCTTGATAGAAAGTCCAAAGCATACAAATATGGAAGCCTTTTCACAGTAGTTAACTGCCATTTCTGCCTGTTGACAAGGTCACTCAGTTTTTGCACTATGCATTTATTTTATGGAATATATTTTGATAGAAATGTGTGTGACTTACAAAACTTAGAGGAGAGTTAGATATTTGTTGTAAATTAGCAAGCAAGTCAACATTTATAAAAGTGTTTTCAATGGCATTTTTTATTGTGGCTATACACAATGTTTGATATCAAGAAAGCTGCAGTTGAACCATCTTTTTGGAGAGGTCTGAATTGTTTTCATAGCAGGAGGTTCTCACTCCTCCCCCGTTCTCATTGCTCAGTAGCAGCTTAACACAGGGTCACAACATTTCACACTCACATTACACTTACAGAGCCAACAGTGTCCTGGTTATTCTAATAAAAGAGTTAAGTCCTGTTCAGAAGGGATTAGTTTTCCATGGGGAAGTGGGATAATGCCAGTTTGCCCCAGAGATGGAAGTGGCTACTCTATTTCCGCATCATTTCACTCCAGGAAAAAAATAGAAAAGATGTTACAACATTTAGCCATTTTTTTAATATAATTTTTTACTATAACAGTTTACCTTTCTATCTTAAGTGAACACTTTGTGTCACTAGCATCGGCATTAGCTTGGGAATTCACAGCCAACTGTCAACTTCACCGCATAAAATAAAATGTTTTTCTAAAAATTTTTCCATGTTCTAATTTGTACACAAGGTAGAACAGTAATGTTACATATTGGCAATTGTTTATGAACAGAGCTGTCTATAAAGGCTATGTTTCACAGCCAGTTAGAGCATTTTCCTACAGTGAGAGTATATAACTTGAGTGCTTTGTCCGCGCTTGACAGCCTATTCAAACGTACAGTGCAAGTCACCAAAAAGCAAAATTTTTAAAATCTCACAGTGTATGTCTGACTTTTGAGAACATTTAGCTAAAACTCAACTATCCAATCAAAAGACTCTGAGAAGACATAAACTCCATACGTGAGCTCCTCGGCTTCTCTAGGGGGCCTGCAGAAAGAAGTCCAGCCTTTCATGTATAGTTGCTTCTCTTACTCTCAGAACTGTACTGTTTCCTCTGTTATCCAGGATTAGCTAACACTACAAACTCCTGCAATCTTACTGCCTTAATTCGGGATAATTAAGTCTATTCCCTTAACCAATTATTGGCTCAGCTGTTTTCATTTAGATAGTGGCAGCATGTGTCTAGGTGTATTTTTAGAATGACCTGTAAAGATATTGTCCTCAAGGAAAGTGCCAGAACACCAGTGAAATCCTTGGATCCCTAGACTGGATTAGCCCTAACCCATTGACCGAATGGAGCACTACTCTTATATTTGTGTCTGTGTGTGTTTATTAGAACCTACAGTTGCTGTCTGATGCACGGTCTGCCAGGGCCTACCGTGATGAGCTGGATGCCCTGAGAGAGAAAGCCATCCGAGTGGACAAGCTGGAGAGTGAAGTGGGCCGTTACAAAGAGAGACTCCATGACATTGAGTTTTACAAAGCCAGAGTGGAGGTATACAGAAAACTGAAAGCATTTAATGCACAATACAACAACCAGAATTACATCATGTTCATCGTTGAACAGTTTTTGGGGCCAAAGAGCCGCTATGTTTTCATGAATTTTTTTAAATACCGTTGTGCTATGATGTGAACAGGCTATTGTTTATTCAAAATACATGCACTTGTAGTAAAATGCAGCTAGGGTATTTGGTGATATGACTGGTGTGGAATTGTCTAGAATTGTGTAGTAATGCTGTCCCATAGATTGTTGTTGGGAGAGTAGGGCTGGAGCGCACATTGCATTGCAGTGCATGCTGGCGATTGTAGTTCATCACATTAAGAAACGGGCTATTTTTAACAGAAAATCAAAATTATTAAACTGGCTGAATAAGATTGTGCGCTGGTCCTGATCTGGCCTGTGGGCCTTATGTCTGACACATGGGCCTTAGTATATTTTATGCCCACAAAAGTGGTTTCCATAGAAGTTAGTTATTAACAGGTGCTTCATATTTGGTCACACAGGAACTGAAAGAGGACAATCAGATTCTTCTGGAAACAAAGAGCATGCTAGAGGACCAGCTGGAGGGCTCCAGAGCTCGTTCTGATAAACTGCATGAATTAGAGAAGGAGAATCTGCAGCTGAAAGCCAAAATCCATGACATGGAGATGGTAGGTATACTAGAAGATTATAGAAAGCTCCTCTAAAAGAACATGACTAGATGCTTTAACATGGCAAGTCTGCATGATTGCATTAGTCCTGATGTTGTACTGTATGTGTGTCAGGAGCGGGACATGGACAGGAAACGCATAGAAGAGCTATTGGAGGAGAACCTGACATTGGAGATGGCTCAGAAGCAGAGCATGGATGAGTCCCTGCATTTAGGCTGGGAGCTGGAGCAGCTCTCCAAAACCACCCCTGAGCTCACGGAGGGTAAGTAGCCCCGTGGCCTCAGCACTAGCTACCTCGCAGATTGCCCTCGGCTTATTCACACATGATTGATTAACGTAATTAATATTTAATGACCTCAAGTCCCAGATTACCACCCAGTCCACGTTTGACAAAGCTAATAAGGTTAACTGGGCCTAAATCCCAGATAAACCCTGGTTGTTTACCAAATGAGCTCAGCTCAGCTTGTTGTTACAGTTGTTGAAGTGTGAGAAGGTTTAATATTCCTTTTTGCTGCCATACCTGCAGTTCCACAGAAGTCTCTGGGTCATGAGGTGAATGAGCTGACCTCTAGCCGGCTCCTGAAGCTGGAGATGGAGAATCAAACGCTCTTGAAAACAGTGGAGGAGCTGAAAAGCTGTGGGGAGGCTAGTACACGCCTCCTCAAAGCCGAGAAGGAGAACCAGAAACTCAGCCAAAAGGTCAGATGATGATTCCTCTCTCTGTCTCTGGGTTTGTGTGTATGCTGTATTTGCTGTGGGGTGCACCACACTCAGAAAAGCTCACTAAAGTGGCTTGTAATAAAAAGGGCTCAGTAAAGACAAGAGAGACGGAAGGAACAAAAGCCTGAAGGTCCCTTCACAGGACTTTAATCTCAAAGGTCATTCTTCCAGTCTTGCAGAGTTATTTTTGGGAAGCTAAGCGCTCAATTTTAAGCTTAGATTAAGTCATGAATAAAACGCAATTTCCCCACACAAAGGCAAGAAAGTTACTAAAAGAGTGAAATAGGTTGTGCTGTAGCTTAAGCACTATTGCTGGAAAATACAATGGCTGCTCTCAGCCCAGACGTGTGCAGCTCTAAGCTGTCACTTAAGCAGCTTTGACAGAATTAGATCTTACAGATAGATCATATATACATGATGGGTTTAAAGTCCTCTGTATGTTTTTGTATGTCTCTGTGTTTGTCTGTGTTTCTGTGCCAGCCTATTACATGATGCTGTGTAATTATGTATTTCCAAAAGCTTTGGGTTTATAAAAAAATATAGAATGTCTGCAAGGACATTGGAATACGCCCTCCAGAAGAGCTTTGCATCGCAGCTGTGTCTGTGTTTCAGGGACAATGCAGACACACGCTATCCCTCCCTCTCCCTTCATGAGTATGAGCAAAGAGGGTGTTAATTATCAGTGTCTGATCCTACACCCCACATTTTAGCTGTAAAAATAGGAGGGTTAAGGACATAAGGCTTCTTGGGTTACAGCTGCACTCCTCATGCCCCCTAGAAATCAGTCATCTATTTTTTGTGCACATGTGAAACTACCCACATATTTGTACAGAAGTCCAGTTGATGGGTTCGTGATGTTTTTTTGTCTATGTGTCTGGATGTCCTGCGCAGCTGGAACAGCTGGAGAACGAGATGCATGTGGACAGAGAGAGCCTGCGCAGTGCTGAGAGCCTCAGCTCAGACCTGATGAAGGAGAAAGCACAGCTACAGAAAACCTTAGAAACACTGAGAGAAAACTCAGAGAGACAGGTGCGTACTGGGCTCCTAGGAGGTCTCCAAAGGTCAAGATCAGTAAAATGTTTTGTTTGTTTCTTTTTTTAAGCATTCAGCTGTGTTTTTGTGTTAGTTTCTGTGTAATTCAAAAAGACCCATAATAGATAAGCATATGCTGTTCATTTTTGTGGCTTTCAATTGTTTTTGTGGCTTTCACAAGAACGTAGTGCTTTTTGAACTTTTATTTCCAGGCCTCATTGATCCCCAATGTTATCTTTAAGCATTTTTTTCCATAGTGTGAGAAAATATATTGATAACACAAAAACATTTAGGTAGCATCTATACGAATATTGTTTTTTGTCTATCAGAAATTAAATGTATGTACTCTCAGTGTCTCCTCCGGTGATTTAATTATATAATACATAGGCATATGGACAGCATGATGGGAAAAAAGGCTTATTAAAGACACTAGAGAATGTCTTATATTCATAAGGCCTAAGTGTGACAGTGCATGATTTGTCATAACACATAAATTCTATGTGATTGTGATCAGAATTACTGGTTTGACATTATTATTTCTTAACTGTTAGCGCACAAACAGCACAGACACACACGTTTTCCAAGCCGCTTATCCTCCTGGGTCGAGGGGGGGTGTTGCACTGGAGCCTACCCCAGCGCACTTTGGGCGGAAGGCAGGAAACACCTTGGACACGTCACCAGTCCACCACAGGGCAGTTAATCTAGAATTAACTGCAGATTTAGAATACACATCATCAGAATTTCTTTGCTTGTTTGAATGAGTACAAGAAACACTGTTCCTATAAAATTACATCATGCTTTTGTGACCTTCCATTTCTCACTGGGGCAGGTTAAGGGACTGGAGCAGGAAAATGACCACCTGAACCAGACCATTGCCTCTCTCAGGCAGCGCTCTCAAGTCAGCGCTGAGGCCAGGGTCAAAGATATAGAGAAGGAAAACCGTGTGCTTCATGAGTCCATCAAAGAGACCAGTAGCAAGCTCAACAAACTTGAGTTTGAACGCAAGCAACTGCGCAAAGACATGGAGTACTATAAAGAGAAAGGCGAGAAGTCTGAGGAGCTAGAGATGGAGGTCCATCGCTTAGAGCGGGAGAACGAAGGGCTGCAGAAACGGGTGGCCAGCCTCAGCATCACCTGTGAGAAGGTGGAGGCCCTGGAGAAGGAGAACACTGAGCTAGAGACGGAGAGCAGAAAGCTGAAGAAGAAGATCGACGGGCTGAGAAATACAGCTCTCCAGCTAGAGGCCTTGGAGAAGGAGAATGCTCAGCTGGATGAGGAGAACTTGGAGCTACGGCGCATGACTGAATCACTAAGGTCTGCAGGCGCCAAAGCCGCTCAGCTAGAGCTGGAGAACAAGGAGCTGGAGAGTGAGAAAAGCCAACTACAGAGGAGCCTGGAGCTGTTGAAAGCTTCGTCAAAAAAGACTGAAAGACTGGAAGTGAGCTACCAGGGCTTAGACTCTGAGAACCAGCGGCTCCAGAAGGCCCTGGAGAACAGTAGCCGCAAGATCCAGCAACTGGAAGGTGAGCTCCAGGACTTGGAGAGCGAGAACCAGAGCCTCCAGAGGAGTCTGGAGGAGCTCAAGATCTCCAGCAAGCGTTTGGAGCAGCTGGAGCAGGAGAATAAAGTGTTAGAGCAAGAGAGTGCACAGCTGGAGAAAGACAAGAAGCAACTGGAGAAAGAGAACAAGCGCCTGCGACAGCAGGCTGAAATCAGAGACTCCAAATTAGATGACGACAATCAGCGTATCTCGCATCTTGAGAAGGAGAACCGCGCCCTTAGCAAGGAAGTGAGCACCCTCAAAGACTCCTACAATCGGGTTAGAGACCTTGAAAGGGACAACAAGGAGCTAGTGAAGCAAGCCACAATCGACAAGAAGACACTGGTCACATTGAGAGAGGTACGTACCTAAGGCAACAGCCTCAAAGCAACCCTTAAAAAAATCTGGTGAAAAATCAAAAAGTTATAATCAAATACAGTTAATACAGTCAATCATTTTTACAGATAGTATATCATATAATGTCTTAATTGTATAAGTGAGTCTTTTTGAGATTATTTTACAACACAGTATGGTTTAAGGCAAGTTTGTTGCTTAATAATTCAGTGTTTAAGGCACATGTGTAATGTTTTAGGCATGCAATTTTTACAATGCTAATTGTTGAGGTATAAGCTTTTTCTTCTTACTAGCCCAAAAGCATTGTTAATATTTAGGGGTGTGTAACTTAAGACTATTATATGACAACATTCACCTCAAACTTCGATAGTCTGTGATAGAGCCTCAGTTTCTGCTCTGGATATGACCCAAGTCTGATGTTTTGTGATATAGGAGCTGGTAAGTGAGAAACTGAGAAGTCAACAGATGAATAATGACCTGGAGAAACTAACTCACGAGCTGGAAAAGATTGGTCTGAATAAAGAGGGACTGTTGCACGATGAACAGAGTTCTGATGCCAGGTAATTTACATTTACTCAGCAGTCTACTTACATGTGCACATGCACACATGCTCAAAAAGTGTTTGCCTTGTACTTTTCACTCCTCGGGTTTCTGTGGGATAGTTCACAGCAGCTTTAACTTTTTTCCAAGGAAAAATGTTTGTTAACGTTTGTGTGGCAAACTTCCAAAAGCTTTCACAAGCAAACTTAAATTGACAGAAGTTTCAAAACAACCAGCTGAAGCAATAGCTAAAGTGAAATAACTAACATGGATTTCACAATGTTATGTTCCATTTTGTAACATTTGAGCAATAGTACGAGAGTTTATTGAATTGTGGAATAATGGAATATGATATTATGGCTATAGTTTTGGATACATTTTGGGGAGACATGGTTGTTTTTAAATGTGCACTGTGTTCTGTAACTCTCAGATTCAAGCTGCTGGAGTCGAAGCTGGAGTCCACTCTGAAGTCTTCACTAGAAATTAAAGAGGAGAAGATTGCCTCCTTGGAAGCTAGACTACAGGAGTCTTCCAACCTCAACCAGCAGCTCCGTCAGGAACTCAAAACAGTGAGTTTTTGTCATATTGTCATTCATGTCAGTGCAACATACATCTATTAAAGCACGTCTGTAATTGGGAACGGGGAACGGTAATTGAAAAAACTTACTTTACGTACTACATAATGCTTTGAAGAATTGAAGACAGTTTTGTTTTAGCTATTCACTTATTTGCTTTAGCGGTCAGTTCATTGTTTGGAGTTTTCTGAACTAAAACAAAGCTGTACTGTGTCTCACCCACCTATTTCACTCCATCAGGTCAAGAAGAACTATGAGGCTCTGCGCCAGAGGGAAGAAGAGGAGCGCATGGTGCAGAGCTCGCCCCCTAGAGGAGTTGAAGACTCACAGACTCTCAGTAAGTGGGAGAAGGAGAGCCATGAGGCCACTCGAGAGCTGCTGAAGGTCAAAGATCGGCTAATAGAGGTGGAAAGGAATGTAAGTTACCTATGTCTTGCTTATCATAAACTATAAAAAAAAAGCTTCTTGCACTTAGATATGTACATCTCACTGTCTTTGCAGTTGACAAAATGAAAAGTCTTTGTGTCTTATGTCATATCAGTGATTGCTTGTGTACATTTTGCCAGAATGCCACTCTACAAGCAGAGAAGCAGGCCCTCCGCACCCAGCTGAAACAGCTTGAGACTCAAAGCAGTAATCTCCAGGCTCAGATATTAAACTTGCAGAGACAGACCGGCTCACTGCAGGAGAACAACACTACCCTGCAGACCCAGAATGCCAAGCTACAGGTCACTAGAACCTTGAGACCGTTACAGTGTCACTGTCTCTCTGTCTTCTGTTTCTCATCTATCCTAACTTCACTGCCATCGAAATGTTTCCCTAGCCTCTGATACTCATGTGGGAATGGAAGGATAATGTGTTAGTCTCACTCTCATCTATCCTAGCTTAAAATATCCCCAGCTCCCACTGAAATGTGGTCATCATGACCAGTTGAATGCAGAGATTGGTTTTGCATCCACTGTGGCACAGTTTGCACAGGGATTTAGATCAAGCAACAGATCAAGCCAAAATTAGGTCAGTTGTAACACTGGGCTTAGTTCCATCTGCAGCTATGTTTACAGTTTGCAAGTTTTATCACGGATCCCATATGAAAAAATATATATTCCCAACTTATTTATCAAATATATTATTGCAGTGTATCAAAATGACCAAAAATGTATTGGTTAAGTCTATTTTAAAATGCATTTATTTGTATTTGTTATTATATTTTTCAGTTACATGTATTTACAGATATAACTAAAAATACATGAACTGAATAAACAATACTGTCATCTGTGTTCTGCATTACACTTTGCTTAAACCATGTTTGTATGCAGTAAGACAGCACTCACAAAATGTATTTCAAATAAACAGAACATAAAATCATAACTGCATTTTCACACTCTATCAATACCTACAACACTTGCTTTTGTGATGTTAAAGGTTAATTTACTAATATTTAAAACTAAGATACTGCAATAAAAATTCAAAAGGCATTCCAAACAGTAAAATGCATTACACAGGTATTTTGGCTATTTTCATACTTTTTAAATGTATTTGATAAATACATTTACATACATTTATTTTTTTTGTGGTACATTTCTATGTGCAGTATTTCTCCACACATTTAAAAATAAATGCGTTTCAAAGTATATTTGGTTAATATGGCAATATATTCTGAAATACATCTTAGTGCTTGGAATGTATTGCGGCATTGACTGCATTGTATTTGAAATATATTTCAAATATATAAAAATACATGTTTTTTTCCATGTGGGATGTAACAGGGATTTCAGTTCTAAAAGCATTTTTAATCACTGGCAGATAAGTAGACCAAGCCTGCTCTCCCATTACAGAAGTGCGTATATTGTATCCTAATGTGACATCTCTCTGCAGTCAAATCCATGCTTTCAGGCCCCATGGATTATCTGGTACATGATTTCACTAAAAGTAGGGCAAAAGTCTGAGTTTCGTGATCCAAAGAAATCTTAAAGGTATTCGAGAGTGTTCAGCCAAAAGTGAAAACTTGACTAGTAGAGCACAGAAGTCAGCCATTAGCATGACCTTGCTAACTGCTGGGCTTTACAACCTGCTAATTTCCAGTTGTGACGATGCTAATTTTGTGGTTTCAGTAGCCGCTAGGATCTAGTCATCATTAGCCACGTTGGCATTCATGGCCAAACTATACATTTAACAAAGTGGCAGATACGTAATTTCCAGCTGGCTTTAGGCCCTGTCTATGTTCAGAGAGGTCAGTATCACATCTCTGGTTTGTTCTATTATCTACAGGTGGAGAACTCAACATTGAACTCACAGAATGCAGCACTGGCAACCCAGAATGCTCAGCTGCAGAGCCAGCAGTGCAGCGCAGAGAGTGAGAGAGATGGGGCAGTGCGGGAGCGAGAGGAGCTCCGCACCACCTATGAGCTCCTCCTGCGGGACCATGAGAAGCTGGCAGCCCTCCATGAGCGGCAAGCTGCTGAATACGAGGCACTGATCGGCAAACATGGTGGCCTGAAGACTGCGCACAAGAGTCTGGAGGTGCAGCACCGAGATCTGGAGGACAGGTGAGGCCATACTTTATTATTATTATTATTATTATTATTGGGTTTTACCCCATCACTTTGATTATTATAACAAATTATAACAAATCAGCAGTTGGCAGTGTAAAAATGATTAATTCCTGTTATTTGATGAGTATGAGCATCATGGTATGAAGCATGCGTATCATGACTAACTTTTATGTGGGCTATGTGTTGTTTGAATGTACAGGTACAACCAGCTGCTGAAACAGAAGGCTCAGCTGGAGGAGCTGGAGAAAGTGCTGAAGGCAGAGCAAGAGAAGATGCTCTCAGAGAACAAGAGCCACCAGGCCACAGCTGCAGAGTACCACAAGCTGAAGGAAGACAATGACAAGTGAGTGACTTTAACTAGCACCTAGTGGTGTTAGAAATCTGTCACATTTGTCAGCTCTGGGGTCAAAAATCTCCAATTGCCCAGCTACCTCTTTTTCCCTCCCAATTATTTATATTTTGTGTGTAATTGTGTAACCCATATATTACACTTAAGTCAATATTTGTTTTTGTTTTGTTTTGTTTTCATTTGTACAAAGATCAACTGACTAAGAGAACATGTATAATGCTTCTTTTTCCTTACCCCAAGGCTCAACACTACCTACCAACAGCTGCTGAAAGACAATGAGGGGCTTCAGGCTGACCACAAGAACCTGAAGAGCCAGCTGAATGCAGCCAAACTGGAGCAGACACGCCTGGAGGCTGAGTTCTCCAAACTCAAAGAGCAGTACCAGCAGCTGGACATCACTTCCACCAAACTCACCAACCAGTGTGAGGTAAATTCTCCACACTGTCAGCTAATATGCTTAACCAGGGCTAGAGTGAGGTTTGTGGTTTTAAGGGAGGCTTGAAAGAGCAACCTGTTCATCTCTGATGTCCTAAAAGAAAAAGAAAATGTGTTGTCTGAAGGTTGGTTAGACTTGTGCTTTTATTGTCATCATGTTCTTGAATTGAACATAACTTTATAGTACAGCTGAACTGTTAGCAGATGTCCATGCTGAGCCCCTAAGCTATTTAAATGCTGAGGAGGGTTCTACAGGAATGTATGTGCTCATCACAGATCCTACAGCCTCTGGTATGGACATGTCAGACACTGCCTCTTTTCCTTGTGCCCTGTTGGAGTTAGGGGAGGGGTAAAGAACTGTTGTGGAAAGCTTTACAGATTGCCTCTGTCTTCTTTTCTGTAAGACTGTTATTAAGTCATAAAACTGTCCTTGTGTAATGCTATGACATTTACATATTAAAAGTGTTTTTCCAAAAGAGCAGCAAAATTCTTTGTTCTAGGTGTGATCGTTTAAAGGCGTTCCTGTGTGTTCTTGAAGCTTCTACATTATATTGTCTTTAAGACACAGTGGCCATTGAATGACTGATCTTTGACACTGTATTGTGCTTCAACAAGAAGTTATAAAAGAGGAGTGGAATGTTTTGTTATACTGCAGACAATAACAGTGATTACTTGTCTCTTTCCAGTTATTGAGCCAGCTGAAGGGGAATTTGGAAGAGGAGAACCGGCACCTGCTGGACCAGATCCAGACCCTCATGTTACAGAACCGGACACTACTAGAGCAGACAATGGAGAGCAAGGACCTGTTCCATGTGGAGCAGAGACAATACATGTAAGGCATCACCCCATTACTACATCATTGCCTACATATTTTTTTTAACCCTTTAGATTACATCCAAACCCTATAACAGGTACTCAACCCTGTCGCTTGAGGTCTACAATCCCACATAGGTTAGTTCCAAAGCTGGCTCTAATATTCAGATGCTGCTGAAGTCCTCAGTTAAAAAGATCAGGTGTGTTAGATTAAGACTAGAATTAATCATGATGGGAGATTTCCAGGTACAGGTTTAATTGCCTTTTCATAGCCTGCCATAACATTTCTCATTGTGTCACTCATTCTATTTGAAACTTTTATAAATTTCTTTTTGTCTCTCTCTCTCTCTCTTTCTGTTCATTTAGAGACAAATTAAATGAGTTAAGAAGACAGAAGGAGAAGTTGGAGGAGAAAATCATGGATCAATATAAATTCTACGACCCCTCACCTCCCCGAAGGTTTGTGCTGATTTTGAGGATGTTTTGATTGGCATTTCTGTAAACTCACATTTCTGGTTCCAGTAGATGTTGTAACTAAAGGTATGAATGTTGTACTTAAGGAATGAATCAATGAAGACTTTGGTCACACTTATTTAACCAATATCAGATATTATATGCCAGTTATGGTACATGTTTTTGGTCACTTTTCAGAGCCTGGATCAGCAGGTATTTTTGCATCAAAAATGAAACCTTGTTGCATGTTTACATGGCAGCCCTTAGACATACATTTTGGCTGTGTTGTGCAAAATGGAGACTTAAGTGTGTTCCTTTTGTATTTTTTTGTTAATGGATTGTGACATGCACAGTACAGTGCTCTTTGTTGTCCTGCATGCCCTTTATTTTCTGGCAATATAGATTTGCTCCTTCTGTGGCAGTGCATAATCTTCTATGCACTCTTCTTTAGAACACAGAGCTGAATGGATCAGCCGTAGTTCAGACAAACTGAGAGTTTGTGCTTTTGTCTGGCAGAAGGGGCAATTGGATCACTCTGAAGATGAAGAAGCTGATCAAGCCGAAGAGCCGTGAGCGAATGCGATCCCTCACCATCACTCCCACCCGCTCTGAGTCCACTGATGGTTTCCTGGTCGGCACGTTAGCGCTGCCAGACAGTCAGGACAGTTCATCTATGGGATCTGGATCACTGGATGACCCCCTGAGCCACAAAAGAAGCAGCAGTGAGTATTGTCTGAGCTTTCCTTTCCAGCTGCAGCCCTGTTGTTAGACTCCATCCAGTACATTTTATAAAAAGGGAAAAGACCCTTTGTAAAAACTGTAATATAAATTGTGGGACCGACCACAAAAGATGTAGCTTTAGCATTTTGTGCACCTTATCAAACTGTTCTTTTTCTTGAGCCCTACAGAAATCATTTGGTTCCTCACAACGCATAGGGATCAACTACACAGACAGATGCAGTCTTTTTAATCTCTGTTAGAGATTCCAGAACATTTCCTGTTCTCTCTCTCAGAGCTCTTTCCAGGCAGACATGCTTGAGGCTGCTTTCTAGATTTGTGTACGCTTCTTTGCTGGAGACTTTTATTTTGCTGTTCAGGCCTAATGCTTGATTTGCCTGTTTTTCCTCCTCCTCCTCTCTCTGTCTTACTCTTTTTCGCTCTCTCTCGCTCTCTCACTCTCTTTGCACGAAAAGGGAGGAGAGCGCAGCACAGCAATGCGCAAGGCTCCTCCAATGGTAGGCTTTAGCAGTACAAGGGTGGGGCTTTAGCAGAACTGTCCTGTCTCAGGGCATGTGATAAGTTTGTGGTCATTGTTACATTCCATCACTATTAAAAGGTGCAATATACAATAAAGATCATTTGCTACCATTCTTATATAACTCAGAACAAAGACATAGGATTCATGCAGGACGAGAGTGCATGACAAAAAGGACCAGCTGAAAATGTAGCTGAGCCTGATAGAGCCCTGTTGTTGTGTGTCCCTTTCATGCCTTTTCATGAACCTAGCTCTTGTCTTAAATATGTGATTACTTCAGCATTTATAATAATATTACACAAATATAATAATAATAGTCATGCATTTTGTTTACACTGCACCTTTTTAACTCCTTAAAATATCAGGCTTATTACATCCTATGCCACATTATTCAGTTACTCCTGGACTACAATGCAGAATGTTATCCCTAAATTATAGAAATGTGTGATAGAAGTCAGAACCTGGCTATTTAAGGCATAAATAATCTATCAAAAAGGCATCAGTGCCTTCCTAGAGACCAATTTTAGTATCTTTTTTAGTTACCAGTTATTATTATTTTATTACCTTTGTATTTTTCTTTGTTGTTCTTTCTGTCTTAATGCCTTTAACATCAAATATTTTTTCCTTAATATTTTGTAGACAACGTTAAACGTCAAGTAAAGCATGTTATAAACCTGTTTTAAATAAGTACATTTTAAGATGCTTTTTAGAAGTTTTAACACTGTGGATTTTGCATCTTTTTAGAGGCATTTTCTTACTTTCAGTGTCTCAGCATTAAAGAGCTCCTCATAAAGTTGCATCAGGAAATTTGGTTGAGGTCCTGAATTTGACTCTACCTTTCCTATTGCATTGAGATGATTCTCCGTGTCCCCATTCTGCAATACAGCCCTCCCTGGTGTCGCGTTTTTGCCCTGAATTGCACCCTTTAATAAACATCTCCCTTCTGTGTGAATGTGCTGGCTTCTGTACAGTGTTGCAGTCGGACTTGCAGCATCTTCATCACTTCAACAACCCTCTTCACTGCTGTCTTAGTGTGTTTTTCATGTGTAATTGAGCGCCTGTATGCATATTAACTGAAATATGTATACTATACGTACTGTATTTGTATGTGTTTGTTTACCATGTGTGGATGTGTAAGAGAGAGTGAGAGAGTCTGGTTGGTTCCTTCTCCTGGTTGTTAAGCTTTGTTAATGTTGGTATGTTTTCTCCCTCCTCTCTCCACCTCCATCTCTCCTTCTGTGGGCTCATTGCGTTCCACCTCTTCCTTGCTTCCCATTATCCTGCAACAGCACTGAAAAGGCTGCCATTTATGAGGAACAGATCCAAGGAGAAAGACAAAGAGAAGGCCATCTACCGGCGTTCCATGTGTAAGAGTTCCGACGGCTACCAACTCCCGCCCTTCGTTCTCCACCATACTTGCATCTCTCACCGAGTTTTTAGACCTTTGTTTCCCTTTTAGCTTTGTTGCTTTCAATTCCAGATGTTAGCAGCGCTGTGCACAAAGCATCACTGCTTGATTTGTTTGGAAATTGGTCTTGCTAACAAACGTGCATGTGTTACCCACAGCCTTTTCCAGTCTTTTCTGTCATAATAACTGTCAATTTCTGGTAGCAGTAACTTGGGCTATACAATGTTTATGCGGGACAACTACCTTGTACTTATACCTATTGGACATTTTATCAGGTACACCTACCCTCTGTGGTACTTCTTCCTGAAAAAGTTGCCAATGTGTAAATGCAGGGTACAAAAATAGGTGTAATACCCTGGCAACTCCTTGTGTGCTTACTGTTTTTAGATCATTAAAGTAAAAAAGTCAGATGAGACGAGTGATATGTGTTGTAGATTGATAGTGATGTAGCACGGAGCCTTTGTGTGACTTCTAGTTTGTAGAAATGTGATGAACCTGTAGAAGTGTATTTATTTGAGAGATTCTGGTCTGCTAATTTAGCATCGGCAATAGTAATTAGTGAGAATGTAAGTATTTGATTAAGTACGGGTGTAGTATTAGTAGTATTAGTGTAGTAGTTTGTGGGTCAGTAGTACTTGATTAAGTACTTAGGTGGAGTTGGTGTTGTGTATGGTGTGATCTCTCTGGTTGTGTGTGGCCTGCACCATCTGTGACTCTGGCCTCTTTACTGCTCGTGGCGTGAGCTGATTGTCCCATCTCTCACCCCGTACTCACTGCATCAGCAGCACGACACCACCATTCATCCAGCCACCATGTTGGAATTGAAATGGAGCGATCTGGCATACGTGCACGCACTTTCTAAGCTCTCTATCTGCCTTTCTGCTCCATCTATACCAGGGCTTTTGAACCACAAGTCGGGCAGGCCAAAGCACTGCACAGTTTAGTGGTTTTCTACTATCACCATATTCAACTCAGCAGTTAATTCAAAAGGTGTGTTCAAGCAGGATTAACACTAAACCACTGAACTGTGCAGTGCCACACCCTGGTCCACTGTCCTCCTCTCTAAATGGTGTTTATGCTTATTATTACTTCTTTTCACACACACACACACACTCACACACACACACACACACAAATATATATATATATATATATATATATATATATATATATATATATATATATATATATATACTCTCTCTGCTTACCCACACACATCTGGAGGCTTCATTTCAGCTCTGTGCATGTCATGCTAACATGGCACAACCTCCTTTGTTTCTTTCTCTTTTCTTTTCTCTCTGCTCTTTATTTCTTTCTCGCCAAGGCATTTGTGCTTGTTGATATTGGTGTGAAACTGCATGCCTCTCTACATATCTCTATCTTCCTCTACTTCTGCCTGTCTCTTTTACTCTCTGCGTCAGCTTGTCCCATGCAGCATGTGGTAATAATCCTCCTGCTGTTCCCATCTCAGCCATGAACGACCTGCTGCAGACAATGGCGCTGGCCGGGGGCCAGTGGACCGGCAGCACTGACCACTTGGAGGCCCCCGAGGAGGCAGCGTCAGCATGCGGCAGCCAGCGCATGAAGGAGCTGGGATCTATGGCATACTCCACCAATGCCATCAACTACGCCACCCTCAGTCTGCCCGCCGGCCACAGCACCAAGCAGAAGCTTAAGAACAAAGGTAGAGCTGGCCACACATGACCATATTTGTACCTTTCTCCCTCCTGGAGTAGCAGCCATGTTGAATGGTTCGCAGGGATATGTGTGTTATGTCCCCTGTCCAGGCTGGAAGTGTCCATTTCAGTGTTCTCTGGAAGGGATTTGCAACATTGCCCTTACTTAAGGCCAGAAGTGCTGTTTGCTGAGCTGTCTTTAAAGTCATGAGTTATTGGTTATTGTGATCTGAGAGTTTTTTTTGCTCGCTTAATTATTTTTCTATGTTTGTATATAGTTTGATTTTGCATTGCAAATCATTTCATGCTGTTCATTCCTCATCACTTAATTCAGTCAGAAATAGTATGTGTTCTTGTGTTGTTATGTGTCTAATCAAAGAAGGAGGAGTCTTGCTCATAGACTACCTTTGTTATTTATTTGGCTACAAAAATTTGAGCTATACCTGTGTCCGTTGAGCTAGAAACTGAGGCTAGTATGTAAAAGCCTGTCTGCCCCCCTACAGATAATGCATCCTGTGAAGATGTTACACCAACTTCTTCAGATGAGCAGAGTGGAGTTCGGACTCAAGGTGAGGAAAGGGCTCTATGAACTCTGCCAGACCCTGTCTCATAATCTCCATTAAGCAGTTTCTGTTTGACGCTGTGCGGTTAAAGTGGTCAGAGGCATGGTAATCTCGGCTGTCTTTTTCAGCCACAGCACAGTGAGCGTCAGATTTTTAGCTCTAGCCTTTCATTTTCGTGAGAGATAAGAGTTTAGTATGGTTGTACTGGGTCCTACAAGGTGTTGTTCATACAAATCGAATACAGTCACACACCATCTTCATAATTAAAATGTATCTGTTGTGGCATCTGTGGGCATCTGCTCAAAGAACTATTAGCAGTGCAGGTGGGATAATTTTAACTAAAAATGTATACAGAAACATTAACATAAGGCACAATTTCAGACTTTCCTTAATTTTGCTATATCAAAAACTGTATAAAAATGAGACATTAAAATTGACTGCTTTTATCGTTGATATGCCATAAAATAATGTTTACAAAATGTTTAAAAAAAAATGTCATACCGAATTGTAGTGGTTGACATTTCAGTTAAGTAAAATTTCAGTGACATTTAATGTAACTTTACTTTTTAAATACGTAACCACAGATGAATTTTAAGATTAAAGATTCATCTGTGTATGATATTTAGTTCTCATAACATCTGTGACTGATGAGAAAATTGAGCCCATATCTACTACCGTTAAAGTAAGTCATGGACATGCATTTTACAGGCTTTAACTCTTATACACAAAGAAAACTTTGGCTGAAACAGGCATTGCCAGTCAAGAGAGTGTGTATACAACAGCTATGACAGCAAGCTGTTTGTGTGTAATTGGACAGGACCACAACTCTTTAGCAGTGCTGAAACCCTCTCTCCCCCAGCTCCCTCCTCATCCACCATGTGCAGAGTTCCCTGTAACATCTGTAGTAAGTGACTCATCTGCATGCACCGTTGAAACCCCTCTTCAAGCCCTCTCCAGAAAAACGGATTAATTTGAACACGCTGCTCTCTGTTCTTCCAAAATATTTTTTGCTCTGAGGTTTTTCACTGGGGTCCTTATATAACTCAGTTCTTCCTTGGTCCTTAACAATCTAAACAACATCAAGCCTTGTTTGTGGGTTGGCACTCCTTGAAGCTCCTCCTTTGTACAGTGAAGATCCCCTCCCCCCCCTCGGATACTTACTGTATGGTTTCTCCTGCAAGGCTCCTCCCCTCTACCAGTGTCTGCCACTGAGCTTGCTAGGGGCAAATATGGCTGCAGTTCCAGCCAGCATGGACCATCTGCTGCCCCAGTGTGATCTGTTCTCATGCTGTGTGCCCTGTCATTCCCGCCCAGCCTCCAGACCTGCCAATCTCCATAGTACTAAAGGCCACTAGTAATAATAGCAATGATAATTCTTGGGACTCGCCAGGCAGTGACAAAAGGTATGACCATATAAACCAAGTTTCTGCCTTTAATACAAATGGTGTTTGTGGTGTTGGATCTTTTGAAAAATGTTATTGCATTTGAATGCTTTCAAAAAGAATCATTCAAAGTCTTGTGCAAATTATGAGTCTGTAATATGAGCTTGTATTCCTGGGATATGAATCAAAAATAGGATCTGCAGAATACTGGTGCCCTTCAGCGCTTCTTTCAGCTCTTGTGGTATGGTGCTGTTTAATTTAATGGAGTTTAATTTCAGGTGAAATGATTACAGTCTTTGGCAATGGGTGTCTAGTTTTTGCCACTTTTATATTTTGTTAAAGCTGCAGTGATTACATTTTTTGGAGCTATATGTTGTCCATTATTCAAAATTTTAGATTAAATTGCCTTTTGGACTGTTTAAAAACATATTCTGGACATTTTATCTATTGCTGTATCCCACAAAATAACTCCAAAAAAGTACTTGTTTCAGCTTTAAAAAAAACATCACTTTCTTTGCCTTCAGTATCCTCATTTTCATGTTTTGTCCCTCAGGTACAGTGAATGGCACTTTGAGCAGGCCCCACAGCGAGAGCAGTGGTGAGTTCAGCCTGAGCTTGGACACAGAGGTTTGGTCCAGTGGGAGTAGCCCAGTGCAGCAGTCACATTCTCAGAGATCATCTCATCAGAGCCCCCTGCAGCTCCGGAAGAACATGGAACCGACAGGCGCCCAGAGCAAGAGGAAGACCGGCTCTCCTGGCAGTGAGGTGTTGTCCCTTCAGCAGTTCCTGGAAGAGAGCATAGACCCCCCTGAGGTGACATGAGCGCCACCTTAATGATGCACAGAGTTCAGCCATAACAGCATGACCTCATCTTGTGGTGTCACATGAAACATGTGATGATTTAAGTTTGTAAAAATTAGGGTTGGTGGTGGTTTAATTACTCAGTACACTACCTGCCAGAGGTTTAGGGACACCTTGCCTTCTTGTGAAAATTTCCAAGTAATGTTTTTCACTGTTACTTTTGCAGAGTAATGTTTTTTTCAGTTTCTTTTTAATTACATAAGAAAAATACTTGCAAAAGCTTTATTAACATAAAACATCCATTTAACTAATATTAATACATTTTACAAAACATTTAGCTTGATGTTTATCAAAGTGTCATTCTTGATATGAAGAGTAGGTTTTTCCTAAATAATGAATAGACAGTGACTGTAGTTACTATGAATATGACTATAACTATTGTTATTGAAGATCTTTTACTTAGAAGGTGGTTCATACACCTGAAAGGTTTGAGTGCTGATGAGTGCTTACATCTCAACTAGGGGAAAAATGAGTTAGTTAAAAATGAGAGCAGTTAGTTGTTCTCAGTCATTCCTTCAGTTTTATAGTTTTTGCAAAGAAAAATAGCAAGCTCCATTTAATACCTAAGTTATTGCAAACTGACAGAGCAAAAATGCTGATATATTTTAAAAAAATGTAAAGCTAGGTGTCTCCATACTTTTGCGGGAAGTGTATATTTTTGATTAGTTAAGATAACTTGCGTGAGTTTATAAGTATCCGTATGCCTTTTTACTTCTAACAAATTTGTTGAAATGTGCCTCCTTCAGTCCGGCAGCCAAGAGAACCTGACCGGAGAATCACCCCGTCTGTCAGGAGCGTCTGAGCCCGTGCAGAAGGATCGTGCCAAGGGGCGGGGCATCCTGCGCTCTGCCAGCGGAAAAGCCACACCCTCGGACTCCAGCACCACACGAACGGGGCCAGGGCGTCCCAGCCTGCGCAAGGCTGAGAGCACCCGTGTTAAGGGCAGCCAACCCAGACCCAACCTGACCTCTCAAGGGAAGGCCACGTCCGTGTCCGAGCGCCTAGACGCCACTCCCTCCTCCTCTTCCTCCTCTGCAGGTTTGCCCCGGGCCAGCAGTGTCATCTCAACAGCTGAGGGAAGCACACGCCGGACCAGCATTCATGACCTGTTGTCGAAGGACAGTCGCCAACCAGTGTCCGTGGACCCCTCGCCCTCCAAGAGCAGCAAACCTCGAGCCCAGCCTGTGCCCAGTGAGTACCCAGCATCCCCCAGAGCACACCCCCACGCGCCACCCCAGCCTAGCCACCCCACACCGCTGCCCAAGTCCGCCAGCATGCCGTGCACTGGCCACGCCCCCAGCGTAGAAGACCCTGAGCTGTCCAGTCTGCAAGCCTTCCTAGGCCCCTCCTTTACTGTAGATTCAGTCTTCCTGGACTCCATCCTCAGTGAGCCAGTGTTTGCGGGTGGCGCTAGAAACCAAGCCATCCTCTCTCTCAATACCTCCCTAGTTAGTAACATCAGTGGTCCTCCCCTCAAGCCCAGAGAGCCCAAGCCCAGTCAGAACCAGTCAAACGGCCTCCCTGACACCAAGATAGATGGGAAAGGCAGTGATAACAATCATGTGAGCGTTTCCGACCAATCAGCTCCTTTGAGTTCAGAGGACAGCCAATCGCTGTGGTACGAATATGGCTGTGTCTAATGTGTGAGATCATGTGACCTGTTTCCTTTGTGGTGATGGTTAAACACCTGCATGAACGCTTTGAGCACTACCATGGTATCTGTTTGTTTTCCTTTCCTCGTTTTGTTGCTGACTCCATAACCACGCTCTCAGTCCGTTTGGCCTGTCTTTGATTCTGTGGGAGTTTGGTTCAGAACAATCCCTCTGTCCAACTGTCGAATGTCTGCATGCGTGGTAAACCTTATGTCTTTTATGGTTTTGATTTCCACAAGACACTTCATGTGCCAATATGTTCCTTTGTTTATTAAGATGTACAATAATCATGTCACCATGATTATTATCTAAATCACAAAATTAAGCCATTGCTTGTAGCTTTTTGTAAACATCATACAGCTTTGCTCCTTGTGGACTTTTTATCATTTCACCATTCTGCTAATTTATCTTTTTTTATCCTGTGCCTACATTTGCGTGTTCATAAGTTCCAAAGTTAGCTTAGGCTGATCTACTTTGATATTTAAATAAAGTAATTAGGCTTGTGGAGCATGTCCCATGATACTCTGTCTTATCAGGGCTATTTAAAAGACTAACAGACATCAGTGTAAAAATGAATTTCTTCAAATCTGTTCTTCAAGTTACTTTCTATAACTCCTACAAGATTAACTAGAAGGGCTTGGAGAGAAAGCTTTTCACAGGGGATGTCTGACATTATGCACTGTTGATTCTTCTTGGTATCTGGGACTATCTTACATAAAAGTGGGTTCACTAGATTATTGCTAAGTCACTGCATGGCTTTTCCTTCTCTGTATTGATCCTGAGATTCTGTTTTGATTGCCTCAATCAAAAAGAATGGTTCAACTGACGTTATCTCATGTGGATGTTCTGTTTTGTTTTTGTTTTGTTTACTTGTTATCAGTACAGTACTATGTGGGCGATTGAGCTGTCCAGTTAGGTTTAACTACGCTATATTGAGAAATATCTTAAAAGATTCATCAGTCGCATCTTAAAAGTGAGAGAATTTGCCTATCCATGCTCCGCCCACAAATGCATTCTTCCTTATCAAATGTTGCTGAACAAGCTGTATAGAACATTGTCAAAAATCCCATTCAAACTAACCAGAAATTGTAGCAAACAGTCTGCTACTATGTTTTAGTCACTGCATAATATTCTGGTTTAAAATACCACACTACTGCACCGTACTGGGCTGCTCTAGCTAATTGAAACTAGGAGTGTTGGTAATGATGGCGATATAAAATTCGCTACCATGTTAAACATTAGCTCAATTACACAACAAAGAACAACTACACCTAATCCGAAAGAACACATTTGAGGACAGAGCATAGATAGGTCACTGTGGATTTCTTATGAGATTAAAGGCTAAGTGTACATTTTAAAGTTCTTCTTAAATAAGGGTTCTTTTGCAAAGTACATGTACCAAACATACCTTTACTTATGTCACGGAAGTAGCGCAATATATAATAATTGTAGTGATTTATTATTTATTTGTTGCTCCTTTATTTCCTGATTTTTTTTTTCTTCCTATTTATCATGTACATATACAGTTCCGTGCTTTTTTTTTTGTAATATTTAGTTGTAATATCACCTGCCTTTGTCCTGCAGATGTGGAAGTGTTACAAGAACGCAGAAAATCAAAAAGCAGATCGGGAGAGCAGCAAAGCTCCTAAACATTAGCCACAAGGGCTAGTGTTTTCACGAGCTTGAAGGGGTGAGTGTCGCTGCCCGCGAGGGGGGATGGGAGGTCGCTATGGTAACCCGGAGCGGTGGAACAGATGTCTGAGCTGCACGTGCTTGCTTTTCCGTGCTGGTCTCTGGTGACTGTGGAGGCCATGTAGATGATGGATCTTGGCCTGCATTGTTCACTGTGTGGGGTGGGGTGGGGTGGTTTTTTTGGCCTAGCTCTGCTTTCTGCCCCCCCCAGACATCCTCTGATCCCCCCACTCCCTCCTTCTCAGTGGAAGTTTGACTGAGTGTCTCTATGTCCCTGCTGAGGTAAATCTGTAGTCTGAGCAGATTTCAGTCATTCCCCCTCAGACGTGGCTTCAGTTACTGCATGGTGTTAGAAAATCTTGTGGCTGGAAACTCCCTTGCTTACCCAGCGCATGCTGGTTTCTCCTGCCTCTATATTTATGTGTGTGCATGGACCGCGGAACATATTTTTGATCAGCTTTAATTTTATGTTATTTCATTTTTGTTTCATAGCATTGCTATCAAGATTGTCAAGGCTGTCAATCTGCTCCCAGAGTCCTATGATAGTTTGGTACTGCTTGCAGAGACTGGCCTAATTAGTTAAAATTAAATTGGTGTAATGAAGCAGTGGTCAAGTAAGGATCTTTTTAATGTGTTGATTGTGATACAGCTAGATCCAGTAGGGATATAAGTAGTGGTTGGCTGATTTGGATTTTTCAAGTCTCCTCTGATATTTTGAAAGAAGTGTGGCCAGGCTGACCAACAGTATCATTCCAGGAGTGGTTTATTCTTAAATACAGCCAATGAATAGAAATTACAATAAGAAAGACATTTGTTAACCATAAGATTTACCAAATAACATTAAGAAAGCAATAATGTGAAAGTCCACTTAAAGCACATTTGACCAAAAATGAGCCAAAAACTCAAAAAGCTCATAAAGAGCCATTCTGTATAGGGGTGGGCAGTATAATGATATTTACTGTTGTCATGATAAATTATGTCACATTATATCATATTATGCTTTTCAGAACATATTGTGGATATCGTCAACAAACTGCATTTCGCATTATAAAAAGAGCACAATTTGGCCCATTTAATTTAATTTAGTGCCGTATGTGAAGCATTGAATATAAATCATTATATTTGCAGTTTTGTAGAGTATTTTTTAAATTTAGTTTTTGTTTGTTTGTTCCAATTCCAATCATCAAGCCTCAGGAAAAACTGAATATCATGATATGATGCATAGTGTATACTGTGAAAATGTCTTTTTCAAAAGTATTTTCATTTTATTAAAATATTGCCCACCCCTAATTCTGATTATCATTGCTTTGATAAAGCTAATTTAAGCTAGTGTCCCTATTAGATCCGCAAGCATGAAGCTCTCTTTTGAGATATCTGCCTGTTCAAGTGAGAACCACAGAATGTTAAGTCTTACATGTAGTCTTGTATGTTTGGTTTACATCAGCTGGTCAATGTATTGTTTGATCAGTGCTTGTGAGTCAGGTTTATCATCTGTTTCCATGCAACATAATGGGTAGGATTGGCCCACATTTTAAAAAATGGGCCGTGCCATGGCCACCCGTTCCGCGGTCTGTGTGTGTCTGTCTTCTGTCTCACCATTTCTGCCTGTAACCTCATTTTTCTGACCTTCTCTCTTCATCTCTTCACTTCCTCCTTGTCTGCTGCCAACTCAGAGAGAAAAGTGACCTTCGACCTGACAGTCTGAAGCCTTGTTAAATGTTCTGAGATGGTCTTCGCTGAGAAATGATTGAAAGATTGTATGTCCTTTTTTGAAACAATAAGGATCCTTTCTCTGTTATGAAAATAAAGCATCCCTTTTCCTTGAATCAAGGAAACAAGACTTCTAAAAAAAATGTTTCTTGAGTATTGACCGTTTTTGACATAGCACTGCTGTATTATGGTGTTATAATAGACTACTTGTGCACTCCTTAAGTGGACCATTCGTTTGGTGCCAATGTTTGCTCCACTGAGTCAGAGGGAGCGTTTTTACCAAACTGTGCGGACTCCAGTTGGACCCTGGCGTGACTCTCAATCAGCTGGCCTTTTTTTACACTCTGCCAGTGGACTTTCTTTGTCTTACGAGCATGCATGCGATGCTGCATCTCTAAAGTTAGAAGACCGGTGTCGTACAACGATCTGCACAAATGCAACATGGATCACCACATTCTGCATGGAGCAAAGTCGATCAACACGCCTCCCTTTCTTCCCTTCGCCAATCAAAGTGGATAGTAACGTGAGTGGTTTCTCTGAGTACAAAGAAAAAGAAGAGAAAAAGACTCTATGGGAAACTTCTTGCTTTTGTCACCTGGGTGTGCCAAAAACAAGAGTACAGCAGGTTCCTGCCTTTGGCAAGCTGTGTGTGTGTGCCTGTAAGACTACTGTCACCATTCAGACCTGGCATCTGCTTCCTTTTCCACTTTTACATAAATGCATAAATGTCAAAAAGCAAGTCTTGTATCTGTTGTTTTGTATCATGACCACATTTTCAGCTCACACTCATCTAAAATGAGTACAAAAACGACAGATGGGCCTATAATCATTCGAGAAAATACACTTAGCTAAAGCTAATTCTGGTGTCCTGAAACCTTTCATTCACACCAATAAAATGGAGTGATGACTTCAAGAAACACATTTCCTAGTGTTACTCTTGGTAATAACCAACCAAGAAAACTAAGAAAATGCTTATTAGAGGGTTTTTTGTCAGTATGTAGGCCTGTATCATATACAGGAGAATCCTCTTACAAACAGTGGTGAAAAAAGTACGCAAGGCCAGGACTTGAATGAAAGTAGAGACACCCTTGGTAAATTATTACTCAAATAGAAGTATACTCTAAGTGATTTATTTACATTTTTACTCAAGTTAAAGATGTATTTGCTTTTAAATGTATGAATCCAACATTTCTCCTCTTGTGTCCTCAGTTCAGGAAATAGGTAAACTTGCACTCCTCTCTCTTGGGATATTAAGTATCTGATTTAAAAACACATTACAGCCTTAAGCATAGTTGCCAGACTGAATTCATATTCAATATGTAATTCAGGGAGTTAGTGATAGGTGCGCTCTGATTGGTTTATTTGTGAAAGTACACGATTCTTTCAGATATTAGGGAAAATTTAGTTTTTGCTTTACATTATCTTGCAGAAAGAAGTGCCATAAAAAGTAGAGTATTTTGCTGTTAGGACAGAATAGGTTGGCAAACTAGAAATCACTCCTCCACGACAGGGCTAAACTAGTTTACTAGAAGTAAGTGTCTTTCAATAAGGGTAAAAATATTTTGTTGTTAGTGAGGCACCAATCTAATATACTGGACTTGTATTGGCACTGGATCATATTATAACCTTAAACATACCAGCTGCTGTTTCTTAGACAAAAACTGTAAAATTGCAGTTTCACAAACCTTTTAGAAAACAATGAAAGATTTGAAAAAGAAATTTGGTGAATGTCAGTCTCAGCCTCTACTGTATATTTTGTTCTTTGCTATTAAGATGTTTGCTGTATAGTTTATGTTCTTTGCTATTAAGTATTGGGAGTGCCTTAACAGAGCACTGCTATCAGACTGGTGCTCTGTATCAGCCGATACCCTGAGTTCAGATATCGGAAGAGAACATTTGTATTGGTCCATATAAGTTTATCAGCATGTATTTTTATTGACATCATTTGCACATGGCACATTGGTAGATTTAACATGGCAAAATCAGAAAGTTTACAAAAACTGATGAACCTACATCCATACAATAAAATGTCCCCATGTCCTGATCCCTTTTTAATGCATTGACCTGTATGTAAATGAACAGTCTAGTTAAAACCTAATCAAAGCTGTGAAGAACTGGTTCATGTCCTGTCTCTCTCAAAAACTTCATCAGGTCATCTGGTTTCAGTCCCATGGTGGCGGCGTTGGTCATAGGGTGGAAGTACACTCTCTCATGGCCTCCATTGGCCAAGTCACTGTCCAGGATGAACTTCACACTCTGGTCTTTATCGCAGAAGAGAGCCAGAGCTGTGGCACAGCCTTGGCCCACCTTTAGCTTCTCCAGCATGGCTGCTTCATCAGCAAAGCGCAGGTTTCCACTGCCTACGCCCAGCTTCTTGGCAAGATCATTGAGGTTAACCTGTCGGTCATGACGAACAGAGACAAGCCACAGGCCCTTTTTCTTCTTGTCTTTTAAGAAAAGGTTCTTAGTGATGGCCCCGTTCAGATGCTCCACATGTGGCATCATCTCCTCCACAGTGAAAACCTAGTGAGATTTAACAAAGTATGCATTTTTTAATCTGAAATTTAGAGATAACCATCAACCTGACATTTAAATTAAGTGACCAAAATCACATTTTTTCTTCTACAGATATATTTGCTTAACAGGTTTATGGACATGTTTTGATTTTACAGTTCTTTTAAAGTAACATTATAAGCTACAGTGGAAGAATACTGAATGGTGCAAGTGGCAAAGACTTAATGCCAACAATGTCAAGAGGCAGACAGTGAAAATTCTTTTAATGTAAAACTAGGCTTATTCTGTGTCTTATACATACGCACAGGTCCATAACAGCTGCCTTAGACCACACCATTAACATAATATGGCATCACAGTTTGTTTTCTTTATATGTAACTTCTGAATCATACAGAGCCCTGTTGGTGACATCCTGTATGACTAAAAACAATGCATGGCCATGCCAAATTAACATGTGGGAAAAAGAATTTGTGGCCACGACTTTGTAAGTCGTGAGAACGAGATCATGCCTTATTAAGCTGGGGTCAAAGCTTAATCATCTCATTCCCATGCCTGACTAAGTCGTGGCTACACATTAGAATCTCGTTCCCACGTCTTATCAAGTCATGGCCACGACTGAATTATCTTGTTCCTATGCCTAGGCCATGTATTATTTTTATTTATAAGGGATGTCACCAGCAGGGCTCCGTAGAATCATGTAGTGTTTATTGTTAAAATGTCCCATAGTGAAACTGTTGTTTTTACAGTTATCTAACTGGTAATAATTCACTAAATTATTAATTATGTGGGGGAACTTTTATCAGAACTGTTTAACAGAAAGGAGTTCAATGCAGTGTTGGCAGCAAAATGTAAGATGTATACTGTCGGATTATACAGTGTGTGGCTGGGTTGTATACACATTTATATTTGTCATAATTATCTGCTCAAATAAGTTACAGTTAACATATCTGCATTTGGACGCCCACCATAAACTGAAGTGCTATTTTTAAGTGGCCAAAGAGACTCGCTATGGATCCTTTATGTTATATTAATTTGGATATTTGTCCCTGGCGGTCAACGTTGGTACTACAACAGTCTTGGCTGAGAAAGTGGGTCCTGTGCGTTTATTTCATTGGTCGTCCGGCGCCGTCTGGCGGCCAAGGTTGGAACTACAACTGTTTGGGAACAGAAGACGCAGCTACTCGGCCTACAGCAGCTCGGCGTTTATTCGGTAAGTAACACATTTAAGGGACAGAGTGAACTTAAACACATAAGAGACACATTTAGCGCATCGATTAGTAAAGAAATGACAGCGCAGAGGAGAAAAACCCTCGGCGCTGACTTCCTGCAGTTCCTGCCAGCGCGGCGGAATGAATGAGCTTGTTTACCTCCGGGTGCTCCACCGACACGAACTCTATATTCAGGTTCTTTAGGAAATGTTCTAGCTCTGTTCGTAGCTCTGCGGATCCCATTGTGCTGAGAAGAATTCAGACTGTGACAAAAATGAACCGAGTTTCTGTGTTTAAACTCAAAGTGGCTTCACCATTAACACGCGCCGTGCGCATGCGCAAAAGGAAGTCATGACCACATTTCGTGGCAGAAGTCACCAACACGTGTTTGTGTGGGAAAAGTTGCTGCTTTATAGAGAAAAGATGTAGAAATAAGGCTGTAAAATCTGAACTGCTCAGATTTTCACAGAATGATTCCCTCCGCCACAAAAAGAGCCTTATTTTCATTTTCTGTTCTACTTTTTAGACGTTATAAATAGTGTTTATTATTCCAGGGTGATCTTTATGTCTGAATCTAACTATTATTATTATTATTATTATTATTATTATTCGCGTCTAATAACCTCCTAACACCTGCCTGATTTATCGTTAATATCACTGACAACATATTTCCTTCAGACCTCCGTCTGAAAAAAGACTGTAAACGTTTTTTTACAGCTGCTCCCGTTTAGAAAACTGGGAGGTGACGTTATTTTGTTAATTTAATAAAAAAAAGGGTACATTTGTTTTACAGTCTGAGGCAGTTCATGTTGACCTTTAGCAATGCTGTAATATTATACTCTTATAAAAGCTCCTAAAACAAAAGTCTCCACACATTCCTGTAACCTTTGCATGTCAAAGCGTTTAAACAGCTTCTAAAATTTTCAGCCTCCGGCCTGAAATCAGCCTTTACTGTTCGATGTGTTCTGTAGCCTCATCAGTTCGACAGAATTCACGATTCTGTGTCCTTTTTGTCCATCAGTGTTTCTTTCACTACAAAACCCAGCAAGCATTTCGGAAACACGTCATACAAACATCTGGATCATCCGTAAAGAAATGCACTGATGTTCCTGTCACTGATGTTGAGGCTAACTATGTATGATTTAAAGTGTACTTTGATCATTAATGCTGCTGTATTTGTTATTTTTATTAGCTTGTTTTGTTTCATGCAAAAAATAGTAACATAAAAAATGCTGAAATATTACAGATAAACTTTACTGTTACTTTACAGTTAGAATTTTATAACCGTAAAAGGAAATTGTATCAAAAACTTGAGTTATCGATTAATTTCAAAATGTTGAAATACTGTGTTTGACCACAGGGTGGCGGTAGAGTCACTGCAGGAAAAAGAAGACGCAAACAAGCACAGTGAGGTGAGCTGATCACAAACAACAGTACTGAAAACTGATGTCTGACTGATTTGGCGGATGTTTTATGGAGTTTAATGGGGTTAAATTAATGACAGTAGCAGCTGCCCGTCTCTGTTTGTGGTTCAGGTGTAGTAAAGCCGCAGGGTGGCTGTTTTTGGGTCCTTTTCAGGCCGTAATAAACAGGTAACATTAGAGAGAAGATCTGGTTCAGCTGTGTGAAAATGAGCGGAGTGGTAGCTGCAGAGTTCAGATGACTTTATGTTTTTGCAGTTTAAGGGAGATAAATAGATAAAGCGGTTAATGCAATGTACGGAGCCCCGCTGGTAACATCCTGTATAAATAAAAATAATGCGTGGCCACAACTTAGTAAGGCGTGGGAATGAGATGATTAAGTTGTGGCCACGACTTTAATAAGCCGTGATCTCATTCCCACTAAGTCGTGGCCACACATTAGGATCTCGTTCCCACGCGTTAATAAGGCCATGCATTATTTTTATTTATACAGGATGTCACCATTAGGGCTCCGTAGCAATGAAAAGACAGCGTATCAAACATTAAAATGAAGTAAATGTAAAATAATACACAGTATTATGTGGCTGGTTAATCTCAGAGCTGCTGTAGTGGCTAATCTGCCTTTGAACACTGAATGAATTAACAAGCCTGTCACTTTAAAAGAACAGTTTAGCAGAAAAATGAAATGTAGACATTTTCACATCACTCTGAATTTATTCATCCATGAGGGATGTTTGGTGTCCGGAGTTTGCTTGTTTAGATTTGTACTGTAGCTTTAAGGCTAATGTAGCTAACAAGTAATGGAAGCTTATGTACATCAGTTAGCATCGTGCTACCGTGTCTAAATCACAGACTGGTCTCAAACTGCACTGAGCTGTTAAATTAGCTCAATCAGAACTTGCTTATGTGCTTAAATGACACTGCATGATGTACAGTTATGAAAAACAACAATAAGCTGAAAACAGCAGTAGCAGCAGGTAAATACCTGTGTCCATTTTTATTGATTATTTAATACAGGAAACACTGGGTGTCATTCAAACCTGTTGTGGGGATGTATTCAGGGTAATGTTGTGTATTTGTTTAAACCTGTTTTTTAAAGGGCACATATCTGACATATTTTTGTATTTTATTTTTTCCCAAAGTCCAGTTCAGATGTTTGTGTGTTTATGCATCAAAAACAGCCTTAATTCATTCATATGTGACATTTTTAACCTGTTTATCCCTTAGAATTAAGCAGGCTGTTTTTGTTACTGTGCCTTTAAAATTATAAATTAAAATGATTTATGTTGTGATTGGTTACTCTGTACTGCGCCTCATTCAAAAAGCAGAATGGGAATATTTTGAAAATTTATACAGTGCATGAGACTTTTTGTTTCTTTAAATTGGGGAAAAATAGATTTCCTTGATATGTGTCATTTAACATCCCAGACACATTTAAGGCAGTAATTTGAAGGTGGGCTTTAATGACTGCAATGTGTCTGAGTGTTGAGTGTAATATGTAATATACACAGCTTTGGTTTGCTGCTGATTGTGTTTATTTTTGTTCAGTTTAAATGTTTTTAGGCAGTTATTTCATGTTGTTAAATGTCTCTTTGTAATATTGCACTTGTTTCTCTATAAAGGAAACATGTCTATATTTGTTTTGTTTAGGTTGCTTTATGTTAATTAATGTGCTAAGTTATGATTCTTAATTGTCGCTTCACAATTTGTTCACTGTCTGTTTAAATTTCAGGCTCCCCAGAAGTTTGAGAAGGTTCTGAATTACTTCTGTTGTATTTTGTTTTCTTGATTCTGAAATGTTTCTTTTAAAGTTTTACTGTTAAAGCTGCATCTAAGTCACTGTGTCTGAGTGTCATTAAACTGCTCCACTCACAGGTCAATGTGGGAGAGTTTAGCCTTCACCTCTACAGTCATCCTAAACTCTGTAGTGCAGCTGTAAGTGAGCTTTCTGCTCTCAGTCTGTGGGTCCTCCAGTCTGTGAAGTCTCCAGTGCAGTTACTGTGATGATCTGCTGAGTTTCAGCTCAACTCCAACTCGCCCCCCTCTAACAGCATTTTTTGGAAGAGAGAGAGGGCGAGAGACATTACCAATACATTGAGAGGGAGAATCTGTTATAATGGGGCTCTATGAGGAAACTCAGAAAATAAAGTCCCAGAGTGCTGATTTGCATATTCATAACTAATTAACCAATCGTGTGCAGCCAAAGGGCAAAAAAATCAATGTGCCATTTATAAACCTTGTGATATGACTAGTGTTCTGCATCACGGTGAATTAGAAAAAAAACTTATTATATAAGTGTTTCTCTACCGCGGATGAGAACACTAGTACAACAGAATAAATATAGACAGCGTGAAAGAAATACTTTTTAAAAAATCTTGAAATAAAAATCAAAGTTTGTGCTCATTGGTGAGAAGCTACCTCTGCTGATCTTGGTTCATGTTTACTCCGGTGTCTGGGGTGGGCCTGTGCAGACAGACCTCTTCATTCTCTGTGAGACCTGTGATGTCAGGTCCCAAGCAGCGCTCCTGTTTAGGATGGGCAGGTATTTTTAAAGGACTAGTATGGTCCCTGAAAACCCTGCCCAACCTAGACCGGCAGAGAACAAAGCAGATTAAACCTGGGCCAGCCCAATTTTTGTGCTGTTCTGGTACTGTGGGCTGGCCCAGATTTATGAAAAAAGTGATGCCATGAACCTTTAAGTACTTTAAGACTAGTCTTCTCATTCATGGTATGTGTGCTTCTGAGCTTTGGGGGTGGAGTTTCCAAGGAGGCCTGTGAAACAGACCTGCTCAAAACCTCCTCCCATGTACCTGAACTCTAATAAACCAAGCAGGTGATCAGCTAATAACTTAAGACAAGGTATAAATTTGCATAGCACCACCCAAGCCAGTCAAACAAGGGCACAAACATATATGAGAACCAACATATAAAACCCCACCTTTGCTAGCAAACATAGGTGAGCTCATATGAAGGAAAAACCCCACTTACATCACCAAGTCCTCATGAAGGTGAATACACTTGTTGACTGGTCTTCACGTTTCTGGTAGCTGCTCCTGTGGCCTGAGGGAGGATCTATAGAAGACAGACAAATCAGTTTATGGTTCTGTATCAGGCAGAATCTGATAACACAAATGTGGTTGATATCATCACATCAAAATAAACCAACCCAGAGCTCTTACAACAGAAATGCTTTGCATTGCTTTCCCACACTAAGTAATCTCTTTTAGTCAGTCTGCACATTGATGGTTATTGTACCTTTGCTACAAAGCTACCCAGAGCATCTAAAAAAATTAAAATAAGGGGAGAAAAAGGAGCCACCAAAGACCACCCACCTTACATAGGCCTAAGTGATGTGTGATCAGTGAAGCTGGGTATTTTATGACTAGTTTTCGCATTCAGGGTAACAGCTATTAGCAAAGCAGAACATCAACTACACATCCCTCAGCATAACTAGCAACACATTTCACAACAAGTCAGATTTTACATTAATTTTAAACAACACAAAAGAAAACGAAAAACAAAACATTTCACCAAACTCAAAAACAAACTAATGCTTATTACAGCTTCATTCCAAGTGCATGAAGCATCAGTACTGCCTACTGCTTTAACACTAGACCATTAAAACCATCTTCACAGTCATGGTTGTTTCAGCTTCTCAATCTGAAAGTGTGGCCTAAAAAACCGACACATTTTACAGCTCTAGCTGACAAGCAGGGCCGGTTTCCAGGACATGGAATAAGCCTAGACTAGGACCGAATTGCGTTGCCTATGGTAAATCACTATTAGAAATTCGTTTTAGCCTAAGCACAGGCTTCATCCAGGTCGGGTACCAGGCCTGCAGTGTCCTCCTCGTGATCCTGGCCCCAGTAAAAACAGTCAACAGTACCTAAACCTCACAAACCCGATGTATCTCTGGAACGAGGAGTAAAGGTATAATGGGAAACATTTTGCTTTTGTCACCACAAGAGTGCAGCAGGTTCTTGCCTTTGGCAAGCTGTGTGTGTGTCACCATTCAGACAGACCTGGCATCTGCTTCCCTTTCCCTTATTATATAAATGCACAAATGTCATGAAGCAAGTCTTGTATCTGTTATTTTGTATGACCACATTTTCAGCTCACACTCTTCTAAAATGAGTAGAAAAGTGACAGATGGGCCTGTAATCATTTGAAACAAATACACTTAGCTAAAGCTATTTCTGGTGTCCTGAAACCTTTCATTCACACCAATAAAATGGAGTGATGACTTCAAAAAACACATTTCCTAGTGTTACTCTTGGTAATAACCAACCATGAAAACTAAGAAGAATGCTTTCAGAGTTTTTTTGTCAGTATAGTATGAAAGCCAGGAGAGTCCTCTTTTAATAAGGATTCCATAAAGGAAAGACGGTGGTGAAAAAAGTACACAAGCCCAGTACTTGAGTGAAAGTAGAGGCACCCTTGGTAAATTATTACTCAGGTATACTGTAAATGCTTTATTTATATTTTTATTCAGGTTAATGTAAAATGTACTTGCTTTTAAATGTACCTAAGTGTTGAGCCCAACATTTATCCTCGTGTCTTAAGACCATTTTTACTCCCTATCCAAACTCTTAGAACTGTTTGGCCCAGAAAGTGAGTCATTTTAGCTTATTTCATTGGTCGTCCGGCGCCGTCTGGCGGCCAAGGTTGGAACTACAACTGTTTGGGAACAGAAGACGCGGCTACTCGGCCTACAGCAGCTCGGCGTTTATTCGGTAAGTAACACATTTAAGGGACAGAGTGAACTTTAACACATAAGAGACACATTTAGCGCTTGGATTCGCGATTAGTAAAGAATTGACAGCGCAGATGAGAAAAACCCTCGGCGCTGACTTCCTGCAGTTCCTGCCAGCGCGGCGGAATGAATGAGTTTGTTTACCTCCGGGTGCTCCACCGACACGAACTCTATATTCAGGTTCTTTAGGAAATGTTCTAGCTCTGTTCGTAGCTCTGCGGATCCCATTGTGCTGAGAGGAATTCAGACTGTGACAAAAATGAAAAATGAACCGAGTTTCTGTGTTTAAACTCTTAAAGTGGCTTCACCATTAACACGCGCCGTGCGCATGCGCAAAAGGAAGTCATGCCCACGTTTCGTGGCAAAAGCAAAGGCAGAGAACGTGTAGAGAGGAGAGAAGAGAGGAGAACTAACAGAGAACGTGTAGAGAAGAGAGGAGAGAGGAGAACTGCCAGAGAACGTGTAGAGAGCAGAGCTACCGCTCTGTAATGTCTTTCAGTTTCTCTAACGCTAGAGGGCGCTCGCTTGCGAGTTCAGATGAAATGGGTGAATATGTAGCATTTGAGTAAAATCAGTGTTTTTAATACTTTAACGTTTTTAATATACAGTAATGAATTCATTTCCTGAATACAGAACGGCATAAAACAGTTTAAACCGCTGTTACATTTTTAACGCTTTTACATTTTATAGGAGTTTAAAACGGCGTCTCATTTACGTCCATGACGTCACTCAACAGCCAATCAGCTGCTCCAGTCGGCCAACCAATCAGCACTCAGTAGCAGTAACGTTAGTCCTGCTGCCCAAAACCCGTTTGCTGTAGAAAAGAGGAAACATACAGGTCAGTTTTCTTCGTTTTTTTTTTAGTGAAATTCATTCTTCTACTTTCTAAAATTAAAGGAAAGTTCTGCGTAAGTGGTTAGAAACTATTTTAACTTTTCGTTTTAGCCGTTTAGCTCCGTTCACCCCCATTCACTGAGGACTCGCTCGCGGGCGCCCTCTGCTGTTTAGTTGGCTCTTAGAAAAGTTCATAAAACAAGCTTGTACAACTTCCAGTGTGCTTAACGCTAAACATGCACAAAAAGACTTTAAATCCAAACCTCTCACAGTTTTCTAGCTTTTTAAAGTGAATTACTTTTCTGTTACTAAAGCGTATGTGCAGCAAAACTGTCCTTAAACTATAACTGTATGCCTGAATTAAAGTGTACTTTGAACATTACTGCTACTGTATTTTGTAGTTGTTTTTTATTAGTTGTTTATTATTGTTTTTTAACATACAAAAAATGCTGTAGTAATATAAAATATTACAAATATTGTAAACTTTACTGTTACTTTACAGTTAGAATTTTATAACCGTAAAAGGAAATTGTACCAAAAATGATCGATTAATTTCAAAATGCTGAAATACTGTGTTTGACCACAGGGTGGCGGTAGAGTCACTGCAGGAAAAAGAAGACGCAAACAAGCACAGTGAGGTGAGCTGATCACAAACAACAGTACTGAAAACTGATGTCTGACTGATTTGGCGAATGTTTTATGGAGTTTAATGGGGTTAAATTAATGACAGTAGCAGCTGCCCGTCTCTGTTTGTGGTTCAGGTGTAGTAAAGCCACAGGGTGGCTGTTTTTGGGTCCTTTTCAGGCCGTAATAAACAGGTAACATTAGAGAGAAGATCTGGTTCAGCTGTGTGAAAATGAGCGGAGTGGTAGCTGCAGAGTTCAGATGACTTTATGTTTTTGCAGTTTAAGGGAGATAAATAGATAAAGCGGTTAATGCAATGTACGGAGCCCCGCTGGTGACATCCTGTATAAATAAAAATAATGCGTGGCCACAACTTAGTAAGGCGTGGGAATGAGATGATTAAGTTGTGGCCACGACTTTAATAAGCCGTGATCTCATTCCCACTAAGTCGTGGCCACACATTAGGATCTCGTTCCCACGCGTTAATAAGGCCATGCATTATTTTTATTTATACAGGATGTCACCATTAGGGCTCCGTAGCAATGAAGAGGCAGCGTATCAAACATTAAAATGAAGTAAATGTAAAATAATACACAGTATTATGTGGCTGGTTAATCTCAGAGCTGCTGTAGTGGCTAATCTGCCTTTGAACACTGAATGAATTAACAAGCCTGTCACTTTAAAAGAACAGTTTAGCAGAAAAATGAAATGTAGACATTTTCACATCACTCTGAATTTATTCATCCATGAGGGATGTTTGGTGTCCAGAGTTTGCTTGTTTAGATTTGTACTGTAGCTTTAAGGCTAATGTAGCTAACAAGTAATGGAACCTTATGTACATCAGTTAGCATCGTGCTACCGTGTCTAAATCACAGACTGGTCTCAAACTGTACTGAGCTGTTAAATTATCTCAATCAGAACTTGCTTATGTGCTTAAATGACACTGTATGATGTACAGTTTTAATAAAAATCGTTTATAAACCACAGTAGCAGCAGGTAAATACCTGTGTCTGTTTTTATTGGTAAAATTTAAAACAGCAAACACTGGATGTCAATCAAACCGGTTCTGGGGACGTATTCAGGGTAATTTTGTGTATTTTATTTATTTATTTTTTAATTTCACCTCAATTTTTTTAAAATGGCACATATCTGACATATTTTTATATTTTATTTTTTTCCCCAAAGTCCAGGAACGTGGGCTTTAATGTGTGCAGCTTTGGTTTGCTGCTGATTGTGTTTATTTTTGTTCAGTTTAAATGTTTTTAGGCAGTTATTTCATGTTGTTAAATGTCTCTTTGTAATATTGCACTTGTTTCTCTATAAAGGAAACATGTCTATATTTGTTTTGTTTAGGTTGCTTTATGTTAATTAATGTGCTAAGTTATGATTCTTAATTGTCGCTTCACAATTTGTTCACTGTCTGTTTAAATTTCAGGCTCCCCAGAAGTTTGAGAAGGTTCTGAATTACTTCTGTTGTATTTTGTTTTCTTGATTCTGAAATGTTTCTTTTAATGTTTTACTGTTAAAGCTGCATCTAAGTCACTGTGTCTGAGTGTCATTAAACTGCTCCACTCACAGGTCAATGTGGGAGAGTTTAGCCTTCACCTCTACAGTCATCCTAAACTCTGTAGTGCAGCTGTAAGTGAGCTTTCTGCTCTCAGTCTGTGGGTCCTCCAGTCTGTGAAGTCTCCAGTGCAGTTACTGTGATGATCTGCTGAGTTTCAGCTCAACTCCAACTCGCCCCCCTCTAACAGCATTTTTTGGAAGAGAGAGAGGGCGAGAGACATTACCAATACATTGAGAGGGAGAATCTGTTATAATGGGGCTCTATGAGGAAACTCAGAAAATAAAGTCCCAGAGTGCTGATTTGCATATTCATAACTAATTAACCAATCGTGTGCAGCCAAAGGGCAAAAAAATCAATGTGCCATTTATAAACCTTGTGATATGACTAGTGTTCTGCATCACGGTGAATTAGAAAAAAAACTTATTATATAAGAGTTTCTCTACCGCGGATGAGAACACTAGTACAACAGAATAAATATAGACAGCGTGAAAGAAATACTTTTTAAAAAATCTTGAAATAAAAATCAAAGTTTGTGCTCATCGGTGAGAAGCTATCTCTGCTGATCTTGGTTCATGTTTACTCCGGTGTCTCGGGTGGGCCTGTGCAGACAGACCTCTTCATTCTCTGTGAGACCTGTGATGTCAGGTCCCAAGCAGCGCTCCTGTTTAGAATGGGCAGGTACTTTTAAAGGACTAGTATGGTCCCTGAAAGCCCTGCCCATCCTAGACCGGCAGAGAACAAAGCAGATTAAATCTGGGCCAGCCCACAGTACCAGAACAGCACAAAAATTGGGCTGGCCCAGATTTATGAAAAAAGTGATACCATGAACCTTTAAGTACTTTAAGACTAGTCTTCTCATTCATGGTATGTGTGCATCTGAACTCTGGAGGAGGAGCCTCTGAGGAAACCTGTGAAACAGACCTGCTCAGATCCCAGTATTATGTACCAGAACACTCACAAATCAAAGAGATGATTAGCCAATAGCTTATTAGGGCAAAATGCAATTATGCATAGTCCTGCCCAACCTGGGGACACACAGCTTAAAGACATATGAGAACCAACATATGAAACCCCACCTATACTAGTAAGCATAGGCATAAGCATATGAAGGAACAGCTGCCAGGTACAGCCCTAAATTCTCATGAAGGTGAATACACTTGTTGACTGGTCTTCACATTTCTGGTAGCTGCTGTGGCCTGAGGGAGGATCTATAGAAGACAGACAAATCAGTTTATGGTTCTGTATCAGACAGAATCTGATAGAGAAGCACAAATTTAGTTCATATCATCACATCAAAATAAACCAACACAGGCAGCAATAGAACAGAAATGCTTTGCATCGCTTTCTCACACTATACAGCATATTCAAGTCAGTTTTCACATTGATGGTTATTACACCTCGCTAGAAAACTAACCAGAGCATCGGACTGACCAAAAAAAAAAAACAGGCCATCAAACACCACTCACTTCATCTAGACGCAGGCAATGTGTGATCACTAAAGTGAAGTATTTTAAGACTAGTTTTCACATTCAGGGTAACAGCTATTAGCAAAGCAGAAGAACATCAACTACTCATCGTTCAGCATAACTAGCAACACATTTTAGAACTAGTCAGATTTTTCATTGATTATAAACAAGACATCTTACTCCAAACTCTAACACATATTAAAATACATTAAGGCTTTATTCTAAGTACATGAAGTGTCAATATGACTTGCTGCTTTTACACTAGAAAATTTTAAAACACCTTCACAGTCATGGTTGTTTCAGCTTCTCAATCTGAAATTGTGGCCTAAAAAAAGTGACACACTTTATTGGGCTAACTGACAAGCAGAGCCGGTTTCCAGGATACGAATTAAGCTTAGACTAGGACTGAATTGCACTGGTGAAGCACCATTAGAAATTAGGTTTTAGCTTAAGCACAGGCTTCATCCAGGTTGGGTAACAGGCCTGCAGTGTCCTCCTTGTAATACTGGTCTCAATCTTCACAAACCTGGTGTATCTCTGGAATGAGGAGTAAACACCGTGTTCTGATAATACAGCTCTTAAACTGGTTCTGTAAAATAAGGGACTGTAGAAAGGAGTTTACATTTACATTTGAAAATAAACCGAGACTTTTAAACTGTCCCCATATTATACTGAACAGTATTATAATGGATTACAATATATTGCAATATTCCAAACCTGCCGCACCTTCATGCTGCTGCATTACAGTGAGTCAATGCAATCCCCAACAGTTTAATCCACTAGAGACCAGTTGGTAACCAGTGAACTCTCCACATGGAGATCCTCCTTCCTGAAGAGTTCAGTTTAAAGAGTTTAGATTGAGCTGATGAGTTTCTTCAGAAGCTCTGGGACAGCATCCTACATACTATCATACTCTACATACATGCTGCATTGCTCAGTGCACTGCTATTGGTGGTGAATTTGTTGGATCTGTTTTGAAACTAAACCACAAGAAGGCTTAAAGGGCAATTCCACCAAATTTTAAAAAATTCTGCATAGCTGAATCATTGAGATGTTAAAAAACGTCATTCAGAGTGGTTTGATGTGGACAGGTTCATTGTAGAAAAATGTTCCAGCTCAGATTTTTTACAGTGGTGGTGATAGGAACCAGAGGGCATGGTGTCTAACATAGCCTTAATGCAAATAAAGCCATTTTATTTACTAAATTGACCAGTGAACCTACATGCCTTTTGAGGTTTTATATGTAATAGTGATGACAGTAAAATAGTGGTCCATCTGAAAAATTAGTTTTCTTTAGGGACTATTTCGTCTGTGTATCTCTCCGCCATATGTGTATTTAAAATGTTTGAAGCCAAAACCTTCACAAACTACAATAAAACTGTGTATCAGGCATCAGGCAGAGTATTCATAACCATTTTATGTGATAACTTTCTGTGAGGGAGCTTTTAGAGGCACTTCAGACGTCTGGCTCCTGTCAACACCACTGTGAACAATACTGAGTTGTTGAGTTTCTCATGAATGCAGTATTTCACATCAAACTGAATGATTTTGTTCACATACTAACATATTAATTATACAGGATGGGTGGAACTTCCTTCTAAACTGCATCACAGATGTAGACTCTGAAGATGTCTCTTTTAGAGGGCCACATAAAGAAGACTAATCAGTTTTAAGTAAATTCACAAGACATTGAGCAAGTTCTGAAACTTAAACTCAGGGTCTTCAAATTCAACAATTTTGGACCTGTTGTCATGTAGTATTTTATATATAATCGAATGCTTTCGAGAGAAGCCTGTACTAAATTCAACTCAAAGTGAATGAAGGGAATCAAATTAAATTCCATCTGACAGATGCTCAAGCCTGCTTTTAAGTTGCTTCAGAGAAAATCTGACTTTTTTCCTGTTTTTCAATAACATAAAAAACACAAAATGCAAATTTGACAATTTTATTATTTACTTCACAAGTGTATCATGTTTAATTTGCCTAAGTACACGTTTTTGGTATGTGGTCAGTAACCGAATGGGATTAAACGGACAAACACTTCAGCCCAGAGGCAGTTCTGTAAAGACGGTGTACAGTCTGGAGGGAGGAGAATGTAAAGCAGCCTCACTGAAACAACAATTCTGTAAACTTGCGGACCAACCAGCTGTGTGGAACTTTGTAAACTCTCATGTGTGATTCACATTTAGAACTGCATTTGGGCCAACATATTTAATAAAAATCACAAGTTTGCAAACATACCAGTCATCAAAACTGCATGAATACAGACACAGTTTAAACGGAGTGGATTAAGTCTTGTTCTGTAAGTTGTCTGATAATCGTCATGTTTGGTTGATGAGTCTTATGAGCACATTAATCATATACAACACTGATTTCATTGGTTGAAAGAGAAACATTTTTCAAAGCCATTGCATAAAACATTGGTAGTATAATTTCTTAATAAAGAGAATAAAAAAAAGACAGTACATGAATGGAAATGAGACAAACTGAATGTATTCACATGGTAACATTTTACTGAGGGGCAGCAAACGTAAGGCCACATGACACCTACATGAACATAAAGGCTGCTTTTGCCAATTCTGATGTAAATTCACCTCAGCAAGTCTTATGACAACTAACGCTTGTTGAAATAGGCCTTCTTCAGCGGTCTGTACACAGGCTTATGTAAGTGTCTTGTAGCCTTAGGAACGCTGCCCTTCAGTAGTGTTACCATTCACATTAACCCTTTTCATCATCCACTTATGATTCCTTTTTTTGCAGACAAATCTGCTCAGTGCATATTCATAACAATTTAGTGATCACCGACAACAGAGCATCTTCATCATAATATTACGCTCTTTACATCTGATTTTTCCTCTGGCTACATGCGTGAGTAATCAGCACTACTGAGGTACATACTAGTCTTCTGCACAGGATTAACATGTGTTTAGATGAGATTTATGTGTGTTTCACTCACTAGTGCAGCACAATACATCATTTTTAAAATCATTATCACAACTTTGTCCTCTGCCATGCAGTACAGAAAGCAGGAATGCACTGCAAAAACAATTTCTTAGCAAGAGAAAGCATCTTAAATGAAGGCCTGTATGTCTAGAATTTCCCATTATGTACTTGCCTTTGTCTAGTTGTCTTCTTTTATTGTGAGAATAGATTTCTAGTCATTTGAAAGTTTATAAAGTGATCGTATTAAGTGAAATATTAGTTCTTTTCAGCTAAATTATCTGCCAAGATTTCACTTGATAAAATGTCCATTTTTCTTCTATCCTGTTTTCATCACTTTGTCTTTAAGACGGATGTTTATAAATGAGCTGCGTTCTGTTTGTTCTGTATTCTGCTTTATATAAAAAAGCAGTCCAGGCTGAAACACTCAACAGAAACAACTGCCTTTTTTCAGCTTAGTTTCCATATAGGGACTGTACGGACTGAATGATGAATGGTAGATTTTAAAAAAGTTCACATGAACTCTGGGTAACTGGGAATTTTAAAAAGGTGAGGGAATTTGTCTTTTCTATGATATGAGCCCTTTAAAATAAGGTATAATGTGTAGAAATAGATTTAATAGATTTGTAATGTTATGATGGGAAATGTTAAAGATACGTATTGCCTACATTTCAGATGCCAACACTTGCCAAAAATTATCTAATCATCTTTTTTTCCAATAAGAAATTCTGCACACTGACCAATCTCAGATACATTTCTGAAAGCGCACTGTAATATTCCTGCAACTGTCAGAAAGCAGCCTAGAATGCACTCAAGTAACATAGATTTCTCCCAGTCTACAGACTAACTGATATTCACACAATTCGTACCAGAAAATCCTGCATGTAGATGGTGGATGGAACATGGCCATGAGACTTGAATGAATGCCCTACGTTTAGCCACATCACATGAAATGTTTAGCAATGCATTCATGACATCTTAAGTCGTATTACAACTGCAATAAATTGCAATATAATCACAATAATATTGTGCAGTCCACCTGCTCACTCTTTGGGTCTGAGGCAGCCTCGTCTCTGTAAATCTGGGAAATTTCGCCCCAAATCAAGCCTCACAATCACGCATACTAACAGACACTCATTCACTCAAGACATTATTAAAAATACAAAAAACAAACAGACAAACAAAAAGCTACAAACATAGTCTTTACATAGGAACTTACAGAATTTCATGTGGACACAACAAACACACACAAACTGGGCAGAAAGAAACATCCACACCTCAAACTGCTCTGACCCAACGAATATAGAATGAAGCAGCTGCTCCCTCACACATATAAAGAAGCATTTCACCAACTATTTGTATAGAAATGTAGCGCAAAGTCAAGTTTGGCCAGTTTGACACAACAGAGCAGGTGTTGGGTGCCATGTGCCCCCGGTGTTGGTCAGATCACTGTGTCTGGTCCCAGCAGCTCCTCCTCCACAACAAGTAATGCAGACCCCACTACCGGCCCTTGTTCTTCTTGGAATTTCCCTAGATGGGTCAAATGCAGAAAGGAAGGCTTCTTTAAATCAAACTAATAGACAAAATCCCAAACATTCATCTATAAGTACAAGGCAAGTTTTAGAAAATACACGCAATCGCAGTGAGCAAAATGTTTTCTGAATGCACAATATTTGCCTAGAAATCGACATGAAAGATTTAGATTGTCCCCATGGTGTACCTGTTATTTAAAATGAGAGTACACAGAGTAACTTAATATTTAATATCTGTAAATCAGGAATTTCTATGAAAAACATCCACAAGGAAAACTGGAGAAACTCATATTTATAAGTAGGGCCACCATAATTGCTGGACTAAAATCTAATTAAAATTAATCTGTGAAGGGCTCTGCACAATATTGTTCAATCTTTGACTGACTAACACTGCTTATTCAATTAATTATTCAATTAATTGTCAAAACAATCAGTAGTTACTTGATTACTGATATAAAAGACAGCCCTACTTATGTTATTATCTTGAATGAGTAGTTAAATGAAAAAATATGAAAGTAGTAAAAACTAGAATACCTTAAATACTAAAGGAAATTCTACCCACTTTAATAAAGAAACTGCACAATTAAATCTGTAACAAGCAACAGTCACAGAGAACCTGTTTACACCTACCATAAACATGTTTTGGTGATCACGTTTGGAAGTGTAAACTCCCCATGTGATCGGATTACAATTAACCACATTCAGAAGTGATCAGACAGATCTTTACCATTTAACTTTACCATTTAAGTTTTAACAGAATGCGGTTTCATGATCCGTATACCATCATGTGAGCAGCAATGCTCCTGCTTAACGCATTAACTAAAGATGGAGGATCTGCAAGGCTAAAGTTAGCCACAAACCAAGTGCCTTCATGCACTCCAGGCTGATGAAAGAGTCCAAGCCAAGTTTGTTGACTCATAACGGGAAAAGAGAAAACAAAAGTAAAGTGGAAACGGCGCATGTTTTGATGTGCCTTTTACACAGGAAAAGTACAGTCGGATCTTGTCTGGTGACACAGGGGACGCATTACAGTGAAAAAATGTAAATGGAATCCGGCCAAAGTTTATCTAGACACAATCTGGACACATGAGAATGCAAGGTGTAAACAGGCTCTCAGAGTGGTCTGATGAGAAACACTCTGTTTTAGAGAAAATGACCAAGTCAGAATTGTTCACAGTGGAGGTGATAGGAACCAGATGTCTGAAGAGTTCAATGCCTCTAAAAGCTCCCTCACAGTAAACTATTAGACAAAATGGTTATGAATACACTGACGGATGCCTGAGACACTGTTTTACGATAGTCTTCAGATAAGATTTTGGCCTAAATACTTTCATGGTGGAGAGGCATATGCAGGATGCTGTCAGACTAAATAGTACCCAATGGAAATATTTTTTGAGTTGTGACCGCAGGTTCCCATCACCACCACTGTAAAGAAATTGAAGTTGATAAGTTTCATTCTAACTCTGTTCAAATCTCAATGATTGAATTATGCAAAATATTAGAAAATCTGTAAGGAATAGGCAAAGTGTAAGGAGCGAACCTTGTTGCCTAATTTGAGCGTGTCGATCTCCTCTCGCTGTTTGCTGAGAGTTTCGTTCATGCTGCAGAGATGATCACTCATCATACTCAGCTGGTCTTCATAGCTCCTCTTGGTAGTGCTCAGTTCATCCTGTCCAACAAAGCACATCCATATGTTTGCATTTTGACTATAGATTTAAGGAGTTAATGGAGGTGATTAATACCCATTACATTTAGCATTTTTACATAAACTGAACAGTCTAAAGCAGTGGCTCAACCAAATATCGCATTTATGTAATTTTCATCAAACCTGAAATGTAGTCGCTGATCAGCAAAGACAAGTTTGTGTCTGTACTTTGCATATTTAGATTTGCACTGGAGCTGCAAGGCTAATGTAGGTAACAGGACATGCAGTTTGCACAATGCTAACCGGCTGGCTATAACCTCCCACTGCTTGCAGCTACATTAGCCTCATAAATTCAGTGTAAAACTAAAAAAAAGGGACACCAAATATGTCTTGGCTGCTTCATTACAATTGGGGTCGGATGGAAACTGCATAAATTCTAACAAATACAGACGTAAGGCCCTACTAACTATTTAACAACTGAAAGAGTGGCGGTCAGACATTTCAATTTCCGAATGTTTTAAAGCTGCCCAACCAATTATTTTTCCAGCAGATGGTGCTAGTGAGTAGCTCAGTGTCTGTGAGTTTCATACAATTGTTTTGTCATGTGGATCAAGGAGCTAGTGAAGATGCAGTTCCTCATTAGTGATGGCATTTTAAATGCACAAGTCAGCATATATTTCTGTTGGGAAGCTTTACTCTTGAATACAATGAGATTACCTGCAAGCGTGTGATGTTCTGATTGGCTTGCTTTACTTCCTCAGTTAGAGTCTCTCGAGATTTCTCTGCAATGGTCAGACGTTTAGCCAGTGCCCGGCACTACAGTAGAAAAACAATGATGAGACAATGATATTGTTATATTGTCTAGTATAAAGAATAAATATATAAAAATAATACCCTATTTCACATCCCCTCCCACCCCTACTGTCATTAAGTAAAAGCTCAGCTAGCTCAGAGACTCTGCCTCACTAAAAATCATTCACAGTACTGAAGGAATATGCATCGAATTCCAATTTATTTAAGCTGAGTTCTGCTGCATAAAGCTATCAAATAAGTAGACAGTGGTTACATTTTAAGGCCCCCAGCTCAATTCAGAGTGTACCTGCTTTTTCGATGTGAAGCACCTCATGGACTTGGCTTGCAACTCACTCACATTTAGCAGGCTTAAAATTCTCCAAAAGGAGGCCTCACTAGCGCTACAATCTTGTGTTTCACTACGTCTTGTGTTTTCTGTATTTTTACATGAAGTAAATGGGGCTCCCTCCAAATGAGATCAAATAATTACAAGTGTTTTAGCGAACAAGATACAAGAACAAATACACACAAGGTTTTCATAAGACTGTTAACAACCACAGGAAAAAATACAACAAAAATCAGAATATAACAGAGTATCAGAGTATAACAGCAAACAGCATTCAAAACGTGGGCTGCAATCAAACCTATTTTTTCTATCACACCTGTCTGCTTGCAGCTGTAAAAGAAGGATATGACTTAGACTGAAAGAGGAAAAGATGAGAAAAAAACAATAAAGGCAAGCTGTCTCCAGCAGGAAACCAGATGTACATGCCATTCAATAGTGCTTTTATTAATTATTTCCTGTGAAAACAGCACAGACAGCTGTGATGGACTATTTACTTTTTTATCTTTCTAACTTCTCTCTTCCTGTTGAGAACCGAAATTAACATGTCCTCAGTAACCATCCTAAAACCTGAAAGAGGCATTTAATGTTTTCAAATTTGAACTTCCAACAGTTTACCTACAGTTTAGGAATGGCTACTCTGTTAAATTGATTTCAAAAGACAATAAGGAAAAAGCCCATGTAAATCTGTACATCCTATAGCAGATATCCTATAGTTGTAAATGCTATAGTGATTCATGTGGCCAACCTATGATCAGTCAGTCTAAGATTTAGACTGGCCCATGCAGTCACAGCACACAATAAAAAAAAAATTCTGATTTAGCTGCTCAGACTGAACATAAGGCAAACAACTCTAGAGAAGAGGAAGAATGGAATAGCTGTGGTGGAGTTTACTTCACATACTACATCCTCTAATCCCAAGAGGCGTTACTCACTGTTCTAATCTTTGCTCATTGTGTAATTTATAAAGAAGAAAGTTAGGGGAAAAGCCCAGCTCTGCTCACCTCTGCATGAAAATGCACAGCTTTGCTGTCAGACATCTGAAGTTGAGTGGTGAGCTCAGCTACTCGCGTCATGTAGTGAGTTTTGATCAGATGTTCCCGGGACTCCTCATCTCCAACCTGCAGTACAGACAGAGGCATGGGTCAGGCCTGCCTGCTAACTAGTAACATCATTATTACACCACAAAAATCTCATTAAGTAATATGTAATCAAATTTAACATCTAAATCTTGCAACATCTTTAAGACTATAGTCTTACTACAAAGGCGAGAGCTAGATGCACTTCCTGTCGAGCAGCCTACAATAATTTTAAAGCCAGCAACTGCTCAGAGCACAAACATAGTGAGGAAGTGCTAACCCCTTAGGTAGCTTTGTAAATATGACATCTGACTGCTCCACAAAAGTAAGAAAATCATCCCACTATCTCATCGCTGAAAGGTATAAAAGGTAAAAGACACATTTCTGCCATCCATAGTTCAGCCAATCCTAGAGGATCAAGATTTGAGTCGTTCCAGGTATATTTTAATGGATCAGGTATCGGCTGTATTAATCCTGATCCAATTCCAATTCCTATTTCTTTTCTGCACTCTGTTTACGGCACTTTGGTAGACGTGCCTCAGCAGTGACGCATGATTTCAGTGATCAACAAGCGGTTTAAATGTACAGTAGTGTGGAATTATTACTGGACAGTAAAAACGTGTAATACATATAACTATGTGTAAACAACGAAGCATAAAACATAAGTGAACAGCTATTATGCTTCAACACTATTGTATACCATTTAAGCATCATGTAGGTAGTCAAAAAAACTAAGCAGACAGTTTAAAGTATATCACTATGCACATTAAAAATGCTATAATTTCAGTGCATAATTTTAATATAAGCTTTAATGGGGGTCAAACTAGACGATAATCAAAATTAAACATAATATAAAAGTCAGTTTTATAAATGTAGCCCAAAGAAACAAATTGTATCAGAGTTACATTATGCATATATTAAAAAGGAGGCAATTTTACTGTACTATTAATTGGCAGTTTAGAATATCTTTCACTCAAAACTGTGGCTGTATTATATATACAATACAAATATCAGATAGGATCATTGTAGGATGATACTCAACATTAAAGTACTTGGATCAATTTGGGACAAAAAGTTGGATTTGAACCTCTCAGCCTCTATCAGTAGGAAGACCATCTAAAGTCCAAATGAGTAACTTAATCTAAAGAAGTGCTAACTCCTGCTGAGAGATATATATCATTCATACATACAAACACAACATTAATATTAAATTTCCATGCTCTTTGTACTTACAATCTCATTGGTGGGGGTTGTGGTTAGCATTCCAACCTGATGATTGAGAAAATGAAATTAAGATACTTATCTGGATTCTAAAACATATAAAGGCTACTTAAACTAAAAAAAGTTTATTTCAATAATTCTGCAGTTTACCGCTGAAAGTATGCAGATCCTGGATAAATACGCAACAAACATAATGTATAGGAAGTCATTAACTGGGTGACCCAGAAAATTCTGTGAAGAGGTTTTGAAAGCCTGGTCCTGCTCAGTTGTGCAGTTCAAAAACCTGCAGCTCTTTGGTGATAAAGCCCTTGAGTAGCACTAACCACACTGGTGCTGTGAGACACCTCTCCGCCCGTCTTCTCTTCTGTTTCTGGGTCAGTGCACGCTGGGGTGAGGAAGCCAGTCTGGGAGGAGGTGGTGACACTGTCCCCCCCTAAAGCTGCCGAAAGTTGGGCCTCCAGCTCGGCTATGCGCTGGCTCTCCTTCTCCAGCCTCACTCGAGCTAGCTGAGCCTCCAGCAGCCAGTGCTCCTTCTCTTGCTCCAAACGAGCAATCTTCTCCTGACTCTGCTGTACCTGCAGAGGAATGTGCTTGTGTGAGACTGTGTGCAGTAGGGGTGGGTATTTAGCCCTTTTTTGCTATCTAAATATATGCATTTTCAAAACAGGCATTAGGAACAGGTTATTCATCTCACAGGAGATATTTCTGAGGAGATTAGATGTAACATAATTCACTTGCAAAAGAAGGAAGCAGAAACTCAAAGCAAAATAAGTAAAAAAAAAATAATAAATTATTGAAACCTAAAAGAGAAAACTGACTTAGCATTTATATTTGATATTGGTGATATTTATTAACTTTAATGCACTTCTGTGTAATTTTTGTTTTCTGCTTTTTTATGATGCTGACAAATTAATAACTTTTCTCTTAAAATCTAATCTCTTAAACGGCCAGGATCTGCCGGCAGGCCTAAAGTTTTATTACTTACTTTTATGACCTAAGAGTAGCTCAACCAGTTTGCATTAAAGTCTCTGTAATTACTGAGTAATAAACCTTAATATGTAATAAAACTGGCATTTTAAGGGCTTAATGGCCATTTTTGACTGGAAATTAAGTAAAGCAAGACTTTTGCACAGTACTATAAAGTAAAAAAGGCATAATAAACAACTTTTTATTTTTTTCCAAACTGGTGTTGTTAAAAATATTTCAATTTAGTATGAAAGATATTCTGAAAATTTGAACTGATACCAACACTCATTTTGCATTTTTAGTCAAGCAATTTTTTTTAATGCATTTGGCTTAGTCAGTCATTTGCATGAGACTACCAATTACTGAAGATACCCCCTACCATGGTTTTAAAAATGGTATCAAATATCAGCACTTTTCAAAGTACTGTATAGAAACTGAAAATCCCAGTACTACTTCAAACAATCTACATAACTACCTAAAAGGTGGCATATCTACAGTCACCTGTATACGTTTGAACTCCCCTAGTCAATCTACATATTTTGTTGATTTTTTAAGTGAACACATCCTCTACAGGGAATAAAGTTTTAGTGCATAATTCCTGTTTTTCTGTTTAGATTAATGTATAAAAAAAGCCAAAATATAAAAATGTGCCATAACTTGTTTTATTTTTTTCCCCCAGTATGTTTTATTCAGTAACTAAACAGTAATTGTGCCTTAAATGAGCAGAAGTGTGTTTCCTGTAGAGGATGTGTTGATGTATTCGCACTTAGAAAATCAACAATCCTTGACTTTTGACCATATTACGATTGTATATGCCATCATATATGTCGAAGAAGTACCTTTCTTTTCATAACTGTTTAAAATCTCTGCAGGGCTTCTTTGTTTTTGTTCTCATATCTCATTAAGTAAACAAATACTAAGATGAGTTTGGATACTAACAAATACTAAGGTGAGTTTGTACTAGGCCACCCCCAGTGCGCTGGGTGAATTTCTGATCTTCTATCCAAAGACAAAATTCAGATGAGCCCATATTTTATTTTTTGCACTCTAAAGACAATGTAGGTAGAACTCCTCCAGTCCACTGGAGAGGAAGAGCAAAACACCAAAATGAGTATTAAACTCAGAAGTACCTGCTGCATCAGGCCCTCCCTGCTCTCCGTGGAGCTGGTCAGGATGCGGCGGTTAGACAGAGCCTCTGTGTATGGGACAGTCTCTGGTCGTGCCTAAAACCAAAGAGAGGCATAAGCAGTGAGAACTCCCTTCACAACCACAACACAAAAAAATCACTGGCTCTCACAGTGTGGTTTATGCCATTGGTCAACCCACCGTAAGCTTATTTCAGAATAGAGACTTTCTGTAATTACTTTCAAAATGAAAGAAAAAAAAATCTAGAGTACAGTGCTTCCCAGATTAATATGGTGGGATACCAGTTTACAACACTTTAACATGAATTAAAATACATAATATTTTTCTTACACAATAAATCCAATCAATGGCATAATGACACGTAACAGTAAACAGAAAATTGCACTGACCCTCCTAACAGTGAGAATGTAAGCAGAGGTCTTCTTCTTGTTACTAAGCATGCTCTCTGCTTGCAGTGGGTTGAGGCTTCCAGCACCCCCTCTGGGCCCATAACCAGCCGATGAAGCAAAGAAGTCAAGATTGTTGCTGAAAAATGTGGCAATCTGGAAAAAAGGAATGAATAAATAACAATAATAACTATTCCCTGACAGGTATTATATGCATGCCTTTTACTCTCAAACGAAATTCATACAATGCTTTGGAGGCAGGGCATTACAAGAACGATTGCTTTCAGCGTGACATTTGAAACAGCATCAGAAATTAACATTCTGAATTTGATTGTTAAGTGAATTTTTAAGCTTTATGAGGGATTTTTTTCAAAATGTAACAAATTAGACAAGTTTCATTTGACATTTCTGGGGTATTTTTCTAACTTTTGATGGCATTTTTGCCCAAAGACCCCATTTCACACTTTGAGGAACACTGCACCACTTTGACAATGACCACTTTCTGAAACAAGTTGGTGTTCTTTAGTGTCCCCTGCTGGTTCACCTTGCCAGTGCTGTTGGTCAGAGAGGCCAGGGAAGAGAGTAAGCACTCATTGGTGGTGCGCAGTTTCTGGGTGACAGTGGGCAGCTCCTGCTCCAGAGTTACTTTCTGACTGTAGTGCTTGGAGAGCTCTGTTGATGAGGTAAAGAAAGAGTGACCCAAAGAAAGAGAGAGTAAAAAGAAAGCGAGAAAGACAGAGAGAAGTGACACACAATAAGCTTGAGCCGATTGAGGATGGCATCAGAAAGTGCAAATGGAAGTGCAGTAATCCATCTAGCTGGAATGTGTCATTGTAGAGAAACTTGAATATAATCAGAAACAGAATTGTTCACACTGGTGATGATAGGAAACAGATACCTGAGGAGTTTAATTAAAAGCACCCTCAAAGAAAGTTATGACAAGAAATATTTATAAATACACTGTCTGACGCCTGAGACATTGTTTAAAAAAAAGCATAAAGCATATTTTTTTTTAAAGGCCATTCATGGTGGAGAGATACTTCTTGAACACTGTAAGGAAAAACAGAAGCCAAAGAAAATTGAGTGTTTTTGGATTTTTCGGTATTTTATATTATCAAGTTACATATAAAACTCACAATGTGCACATGCAGGTTCACTGGTCATTTGATAGCAAATAAAATGGATATATTTGAGCTGTACACATTGGGAACCAACACAAAAAAAATGGTTATATTTGTGTTGTACACATTGTTACACCTTGTTCCTATCACCACCACTGTAAAGAATTCTGAGTTGGTAAGTTTCCCACCAAAACTTATTGAAAACTTTATTTATACCTCAATTAAGGAGCACATCAGAATTATATCTGCATCAGCCCTCAGTTCCCACACTGGTCCAAATTTTGAAAAATCTGAGTTTACACTTCGGACAACATTCTGTCTGCAGCTTTAAGATGAACAACAATAAATAATATCTGTCATGTTTGTAATCTGTGTATTCAGATAAGTCTTAAATCATGTTGTACATGAACGTGGGCTTAAATAAATTCAAAATTGAAGTTATATCAAAGTTGTCAAATACAAATCCTAACAAATCCTATTTACAATAGAATCCAACATAGCCCAATAACTACAATAGGCTATAAGAACAGTAAAGGAACAGTTAACCTTAAACTTTGGCCTGTATTTTTAACAAGAAGTGATTTACAGGCTATTAAGTGTGATTTATTGACACCAACACAGTGATATGACGAGAATGTTTTGGCAGTTACTATGAAACTGCAACAGTAACACAGTGTCAGTCCAAGCTTAATATAGCAGTAAGGCTCATTTCACACTATCTCAGCGTAGTGAAAACAGCTCATGTCAGTCTAGCTAAACCGAGAGGTTATATTCAGCGGGAATAACTCGTCTCCACTGCGCTTTACCTCAAGTGTGCCGTCATTGTAGACAAGCATACAGTGCAACAGAGAGCTTGTTTTAATCTAAAGGTGATGCAACACGCCTCACAACAACAGCTCACAAATATTGCCTATCTAGGACAGCACACCAAGTAACTGATTCCCTTTATCTGGCCGGGAGTCAGATCGCCTCACCCTTGGTGGTGTCATGCAATCCGTGTAAGCAGGCAGCCAGCTGGGTGAAGACAGCGCTGGAGCTACTCTGAGGCATAGCATCCGATCGCACACCTGCCAAAAACATATACGTTTTCAATGAAGATTAATCAGTTCATTAATCAACCAATTAAAATATCAAGTAACAAATCGAACACTGACAGTTAATACTGTCACTGTCCTAACAAAACCATGCATCTCCACAACGGAAATGTTACAGAAGAAGAAAAAAACTTTTATTATAAAACAATATAAAAAGATTATATTCCAACTACTTTATATTCCAATTACTTCTATTTTTATTGGTCAAATGTCGTTAACAAAAGTTACATGGTTTTGATAAGACAGCGATGATATAACACAGCAGAAACAAAACCACACATAGACCCTTAGAAGAGCACAATCTATAGAGCCTTTCACATAGAGGAGGACATTATGACTTTACCAGCTGCATGTTTCATTACAAAGAGAGCATAATTAGGACCGTTTAATTGGATTTAGTATATTGCAGCATGTAAAATGCTGAATAAAAGTAGCTCAAATCATACTTTTTGACAGTATTTGTTTAATGTGGCACTGCTGGTGCATACTGTTTGTTCCTCCTTACCAGACCTCAGGAAAACTAAACACTGTGACACAGATCAAGCACTATGCAAATTTTTTTAAGTATCATCTTACTGTATTTGTTCCATTTTAACTCACCCCTACTGTCAAACTATACATGTTTTCTATTATTTTCACGGTTGTTGCAAGTCACAGTGTTTTGCAGATATTTTGGTGTAAGTCAGAAAGTCTGATGGGGGTCATTCTAGCAAATTTTTTCTACAACTTGACAAGATGCATAATGATTAGCTGCGCTTTTGTGCCAGTAGTACAGGACTCACTAGGTAAGGCTAGAAGGCTGATATAGTTCTGCAGCTTCTCAAAGACAGCAGTCAAAGCCTTCATGTCATTCTGTAGCTCACGGTTCTTAGCGTTTAGAGAAGCTGTACAGAGAGGTACATCGCACTCCTCCTCAAGGCTAGAGAGTGAGAAAGAAAGACAAAAAAAGAGAGAGACAAAGAGACACAAAGTTAGCTAATTAAAATAACGAGGAGGGGATTTGTGGTTTTTGTTTAAATACATCGTCACTGTTGGAACAAAATCTTGCATCTCCAAAATAGTAAGTTTATCAGAGAAGCAAAAACACGATTTTATTCTAAATAATTATTCTAAGAAAATTTCCATGATGCAGCCCAAAAATAACAAAAATTGATTTTTTTTTTTGACCTGACGATATAAACAAAATAGAAAAATTACGTATACTCTTATTTTATGCAAATACAGAGAGAACTGACCTTTTAAGCTGATAAGGCAGGATCTTCTGCAGAAAGCTTGTGTAAGTAGAAAAGGATTTGGAAAAGTCCTGCAGTTTGCTCACTGTTTCCTTCAAATAAGAAAACACAGGAGGTATAGAGATGTTTTCAAAAACATGTAATATGAAGGTGAACGTGGTTCTAAACATAAAACAAAGATGCTTACCAGTACTGTGACTGTGTCCTCTGTGATGCTCTGATGTACTTGTAGCAATCCATCCTCTAGGGGACGAACATATGCTGCGTTCTCATGCAAATACTGAGAGAACTGCAAAGAGGAAAAGGCATAAATGGCAGTTAAATTTGTTTATTACAATAATGAAGAAGTGAATAAATCTCAGCGCAGGCATAAGAGGATGGGGAAGGGGAAGACGCTACAAAAACAGAACTAAATTTAGGTAGGACAAAAAAGCGTAAACAAAAAAGTGAATACAAACACAAAAATCCCTAAGCATGTATGTTGGTAGTGGTGTCTACCTTCTGGTTGAGGGGAGATATGGATTCAATGGAAGAGTCCAGAGGGTAAATGTGGACCCTCTGTTCCGTGTACGAGTGAAAGTTGAGGAGGGAAGACACCAGATCTTGTACAAAACTCACAGCCTGCCCCGCCGCATCTCGAGCTTTCAGCTATAAACACAGTAACAGGATATTAATCTCTTAAACCTCACTATACACCACCCTGACTTTTTAACCCTTATACGGTCATCATGTTTTTGTTACTCAGTGGTCTAATGAACCCACTGCACTATTGCCGTTTCAAATAAATACAGCCATAACAATTTATGTAAAAATACCAGATGTTTAAAATATCACAAGTGGCCAGTGTGGGGTTCTCCTTCAGCAGCTGTAGCCAGTCAGCAGCCTGCACATCTTGTCCACCCTCTCTCTCTCTCTCTCACACACACACACACACACACACACACACACACGATCGATCAGGCACAACATTATGACTGTCCTATATCCTTGTTTCTACGCTCATTGTCCATTTTATCAGCTTCACTTACTATATAGGTGCACTTTGTAGTTCTACAATTCCAGACTGTAGTCTATCTGTTTCTCTGCATACTTTAAGACCACCATGGACCACCACAGAGCAGGTACTATTTGGGTGGTGGATCAATCTCAGCACTACAGTAACACTGACGTGGTGGTGGTGTGTTTGTGTGTGTTGTGCATGTGGATCAGACACAGCAGTGCTGCTGGAGTTTAAACACTGTGTCCTTCATCAGTGGTCACAGGATGCTGCCCACAGGACACTGTTGACTGGATATTTTTGGTTGGTGGACTATTCTCAGTCCAGCAGTGAGAGTGAGGTGTTTGAAAACTCCATCAGCACTGCTGTGTCTGATCCACTCATACCAGCACAACACACACTAACACACCAACACCAGGTCAGTGTTACTGCAGTGCTGAGAATGATCCACCACCCAAATAGTATCTGCTCTGTGAGGGTCCATGGTGGTCCTGACCACTGAAGAACAGGGTACAAGAGGGCTGATAAAGTATGCAGAGAATCAGATGGACTACAGTCTGTAATTGTAGAACTACAAAGTGCACCTATATAGTAAGTGGAGCTGATAAAATGGACAATGAGCACAGAAACAAGGAGGTGGTCATAATGTTAAGCCTGATCGGTGTATATATACAAACACATATATACAGACACACACACACTAATAGCAGGACATGTAGGAACAGAACAGAGCAAAGGTACACAGCACCTCCACACTTTTATTCCCCATAGGTTCATCCCAACAGCACATGTGTAATATAAACGTGGAGGGGTGTACAGTGTGAAGGCACTGAAAATGTGATATTTTATATGTTCTTCACAGAAAACGAGCAAAGGCCAAGGAATCTGGGGTTGAAATCATAATAAACCGCATCATTTTTTCTTTTGGCAAACACTGAAAATGGGTCCCACAGACCCGAACAGAACACAAGTGTTAAATATAATAAACAATGTATTACATGTAATATTTTTAATCACCACACTTCCTTACCTGATGTCTTCTGTTGTGAGGGGGAACATTCAAGCTGTTGTAGTCATTGTATTCTTTGGAAAGAAGAAAATTAAGCGGTTACAAAAAATCTTACATATTAAAAAAAATCACCTAATTTTACCTACAGTCACAAAACAATGGTAAATCATGAAAGATATTGTATTCTGTGATTTCAGAGATCACCATTTATTTAATTTTAATTCAAAACAGCCATTAAGTACAACATTCCGCTATTCAGAAATGAATGTGCTTAAAGGCCGTTTTGACTGGAAATCAAATAAATGAAGGGTGGTCTTTAACTTTTATAACTGTGTGTCTCTAACTTTTAGTGCATGGCAATTCCACTCATGAAACAAGTGCACAGTGAAGCTCCATGAAGGCTATTTTATCAAGTGAAAGGGTGATGCACTACTATACTAACTGGTGTCATTGAAGGGCACTTTCTCCTGGATCACACTGCTGTTGTGTTTCAGCTGACTGCTCAGCTCAGTCTGATACTTCCTCAGCTGCTGCTGGCTACACAAACACAAGGAGAAAACACAGTCAGATCCAAGCTAACACATGTACAGATTCCACTTTCAATTTTGGGCATTCAAAAAATAAAAAGAGAAAATGATTTGGAGATGATTTAGATAAATAAACAGGAATTAAAACAGGAATCCAACTATGTATTCTGCTTTAGATTAGTGAAAGGTTAAATGGTCATATGCAATGGCAATATGTTATAACTACTCACAGGCCAGACTTCACCCAATCAGAGTGTTTGGTGCATTGTCCAGACATTTGTGACCTGCTTAACCTACTACAGATATCAGATGCTCTGTGCACATTTGGGCAGAGACTATGTTATAACTACTTAAAAGATTTCATTAGACTTAAAAGGCCTTTTATAGATATTTTGCTGATAACTGTAAGCAGTAGGTAGACTACATAGTATGAGCGGATTTAATGGATTAATGAATATAATCGATTTAACATAAAAACCTTGTTCCAAGCTTTTTAAAACATGTAAAAACACTAGTTGCTCTCTACAATGAATGAACGTTTCATGTTGGAGCAACAAAATGCCCAAAATGACTTGGAGGAAAATCTCATTACATTAATGTACATTGAAGTTTTATTCCTTCCCCAGTAAAGTTCCCATTTCATAGACAAAAGGTTTTGTTAGGACAGTGATCAGATGCTGAAATTCAGGAATAAAGAAAATTGTTACATACCACTCTTCAGTCCTGAGTCTGCACTCCTTGGCCTCCCTCTCCAATGTCTGAGCCTTAATCTACAAAAGAACATTTTCAGTAACACAACGCTGCAGTTTAACCTTTTGGTAATGTCTCAATCATGTTATGGAAAAAGATGCCTTGACTATTCTAAATAACATCCAGGTGCTTTGCTCAGTCCCTGTTTTACACATCCCTTCAACCTATTCTAATCTTTTCGCCATACCTCCAATCGAGCCTTGTCGCTCTGCAGTTTCTCAATCGTGTCCATGTATTTGCTAGTGAGGTTGTCAACAACAGTCTGGTGCTGCTCAGCATCCTTCTCCAGCTGCTCCAATCTGGCTCTTAGCTGTGCCTCCTGCTGGCGGTGCAGCTCGTCTGCCTCGTAGAACTGAACGCAGATGAACAGAGGTTCAACTAATAATTTATTCCATAAGTACACCATACATTCAGAAGCTTGCAGGCTCTCCTATGTAGTGAACTCAGCTACTTTAAGGTGCACCCACTGCTGAGACAGGCGCTCAATTGCGCACACAGTTTGTATAATATCCATTGAAAAACAGTCAATAGAACACAGATGATCCAAAGGTCACCATGCCCAATGCCAAGCGTTGGCTAAAAGGGTATAAAGCCCAACTGCATTAGGCTAAGGAGCAGTGGAACTGTGTTATCTAGACTGATGGAGCTCCATCCAATACCTCTGGGATGAGTTAGAGTAGCTTTCCAGATCTAATCATACATCATCAGTACCTGACCTCACTAATGCTCACGAGGCTGAATGCAATCAAATCCATGCATCAATGTTCCAACACTGAACAAAAGTAGAGGCTGTTACTGCAGAAAAGGGGGGCAAATTCCTTATTAATACCCTTGATTTCAGAACAAAAGTTGGATCAACTACAAACAACATGCCTGAAGATATATGCATGCATGTCTGCTAAAAACCTGCCAAAACCTTTATTATTTTTAACAAAACAAAATTCATACTTAATTCATCCTTTTTACTAAAACAATAACTATTAATTTAATATTTTATAATATAAATATTATAATAATATAAATACAAATGACAAACCCAAAACATTGCAGTGCAAAGAAAACAGTCGCTAAGATAGTCCAGTTCAGGGGTGCCTACAATGTATGTTTTGAGGGCCTGAAGTATAATGTTTATGGTGAACCCGAGGGCCAAAAACATCATCACGAGTGGTGAGGTTGAGAACCAAATGAATCGTAGTTGAGAAAAAGCATGCTTATCCCATCAAAACAGAATCTGTTTGTGGTTGTTCAACCTCGGCAGCACTGGTAAGTGGTCACACCCTTATATAGGCTTATTCATTACCTACCTGAATGTGAAGCCTTTCATTCTCCTGAATCTTCTTCTGCAAGTCCTCATCAAACACACTCTGGGTCTGAAAACTTGGCTGGGAGGGGGAGTCTCCTTTATTCTGTTAGAGGAACAGAAACATGCACTCAAATCAAGATAATATTTGACCTGGAGCCTGTTTGGACAGATTCTGAAGAAGAGTGTGACAGCAGGACTAAATCAATTCTGAACCTGTCATTGATCCTAAACAAGCTTTTGGTGGGCAGCTGTAACACAACGACTAAACAAACTGGAATTAGCCAGAAACAAACAGAATACAACTTAGCAAACAAGATGGGCTGTGAAATGTTTTACAGATTGACTGAAAAAAAAACAACATTCAACATTCAACATTAAGCTAGTAAATACTGAAAAAGCCAGGCTGAACCTGATAGTGTGACAGTTTTCCGGCTCTGCACAGCAAAAGGTTACTACTTTTTTGATGGAAGGAGTGGCCAATGTTAAAGCAGTGTTCAACAATTAAGGTTATCGCATATATAGCAAAATAACAGTCTATTGCTTAAACATTGCTCTGGATTCAACTTTCTGCCAAACTTACCTTGCTCTTCTTGCCTTTGGCCTCACTGGTCAGCAGCTCCTCCTGCAGCAGCTCCACTCTTTTGGCCAGCTGTTGGTTCCTGAAGCTCAGGCTGTCCATCTCTTGCTCAGCCTTTCTGAGGCACTGCTCGCGCTGCTTTAGCTCCTCCTGAGGCAAGGTGGCAAACATAAGGGTATTAATGCATGAGATGGTGAAAACACACTCAATTAATTCTCCATAAAACAAAATATACTTCTAAAAACAATAAGCAAAATAAATTGCTCTTATAAAAAAAAAGTATACTGGAATTAGGACTGCACAATACACCACGTCATTTGTTACTGCAGTACTGGCCTTTACAGCAGTGATATCCTCAAGACTTGCACTATGTAAACAAACTCTCTAACAAATCACTAAATGTTGTATTGTGTGCTGTGAGCATAATCTTAATTTTAGTCAAAATAGCACAGGCCAGGCATTAACCACGTCACATTAATAGTTCACCAACATGAGCGTAATATATTGAAAGGCACTTCACAATTACCATTCAGTATTCTGTCCATATTGTGTAGCGCTAATTAGAAAGAAGATGTAACTGGGCTACCTTTAAGGAGTTGGAATTGGCCTGCTCATCCACCACAGCCTTCTTCAGAACCTGGTTCTGTGCTCTGAGCTGTATATTTAAAAAAAAACAAACACATTTACAACAGTGATATCTCCTGTACGTTTCACTGTATCTAAAAATTAAACTTACAGATTAGCAAAGAAAGCAAGCTCAAGCTTTGAAAAGAGTCAGGAAGCAGGACGCTGTTAGCAAAGTAACAGCATTCCAGGAAATACCCTGAATCCCCATGAAGCCAGCCCATCAATTATGAAGCACAGGGCCTGCAGACTCAGCATTTTTGCCACATGACTACGCTCTGGTTTACCTATTAATTACACAGGAAAGTACTGTGCTTGTGCAAAAACAGAGTAAATACATTTTGGGAAAAAATAAAAACCAAAAGCTCCAAAAGAAAAAAATTTGGCAGGTTTTTGATAAATTCAGATGCACAATAAAATCAGAACCATATCGGTATCGGCAGAAACTGGTTTTAAAAAATAATCGGCAAGAGACAGACATTTAGATTTCAAATATATTATATATTATTATATATTATGATATTTCAAAACAATATTTGATGATACATCTGTTGTATTGGGAAGAGCAGAATGTTTAGGCGTCGGCATTTTTGTCATTTTACTACATTTTGTAACCCTAAAGAAAAAAATATTAGATTTCTCTGTAGTGCTAATCCACATTTAGACCCAATTTCCATTTTATAAATGTTTATGTAGGCCTGGTCAACATGACAATATATATCGTTATCGTGATAAGTCACAATTCAATATGCTTTCCTGAACATGTCGTGCATATCGTCAGTAGGTGTAGGACACTGACCAACTGCATGATTTAATATAAACAGAGAAAAATTAATAACGTTTAACTGAATTTAGTGCAACACAGTTGGCCAAACACTGAATAAACATTACTGTATTCAAAATGTTTGATTATTTTTTTTAATGTTGCACTACTGGCTCTTTTTTTCTCAGTTCCAACTGATCAGAGGTCTCAAAATATAAATATCATCATGATATGTATTGTGAACATTTCTTGAAGTATCGTAATATTATATTTTTGTCATATCAGCCACCTCTACCTTTATGTATCAGCATTGGTGGATACTTATATGAAAAATATATGATTTCACTCCCTACAATTTCTATATCGGTGCAGCCATGATGATAAACAGTTGAAAGCTGAAAAGAAAAAAATTAAATTAAATGGTCTTAGAAAGTATGTTATTATACCGTAGTATAACAGGTGGCACAGATGCCTTTCCCTAATAAATAACTTTAACTATGTGTAAAGAAAGATGAGTTAGTGTGTACAGTCATTTCTGATTTGGATGTGTTGTCACTGCTGATGAGCTGAACCTTTATACACTGAAGTCATTCACATACATCACACATCAACTCTAGATGTCAAAACCACAAAACAGCTCCCTTACATGACACACTCTTTGGAAATCAAAAGCACTTTACCTTGGAGTACTCTTGAGCCAGCTTGGTGTACTTGGCTTGGAGGTCTGCAGCCATTGTGTTATCCAGATTCGTAAGCTATGTACAGTAAACTGTTCTGAAATGCTTAATTGGACTGTCTGCTCCAGCAGCTTCTGAAACTCGGAGTTCAAGCTAAACGATGAGTAAATTCCGTTTTAGCCTAACCACAGGCTGACCACAGATACGCTAAAGCATGTCTTTGGCAGACAGATAACAGGTTCAAGCCGAAGTCATATAAACAGGATTGCAGTCAAACAACTGCAGGTCAGAGCAGACTAGACTAGACTAGACGGTCATAGACGCAGCGCTGTGACTAGCCGGTTATTAGCTAGCTAGCAATAGCTGAAAACATTTTAGTGACATTTTTAATCAAGTGTTATGAAATAAGCCATGACAGCGGTTCCCCAGATATTATGACAACATATAAAACCAAATAAAAACACAGCAGACCTTCGTTTCACTGGTTATATGCCAACGCGAACGTTACCTTCGCCTGAAATCGCTACCGACGCTAAAGTTAGCTGGCTAGCCAGAGAGCTAAACAATAACACTGAAGACTGACGCCTCCTCGAAATATTTTCGAGTGGACTCTTATCATAAAAACGAATTACAAATCACCACAACTGGTAAATGTGTTCAGTAAAAGGATGTCGTCGTGTAGAAGAGTTATTTAAAGGCAGTGGGACAGTTTGCGATGCAGGTAAATTCTGATGAAGCTAGTGGAAAGTGAAGTTGTGGTAACGTGACCGCTCCAAAACAATTTTCATAATACAAGTAGCTCAGCCGGGTTATTACATGTAAAAGCCCGTTTTCGCCACGGAAGAAAAAATATATACCTGTTTAGTAAGTCATAACAGCGAGACAGTTTTCCGCGATTTAGTCTCTCATAATTATGACTGAATGCCTCAATCATTTACTCTCTCATAATAATGAGAAAATAATGAGATGTAAGTCAATAATTTGAGTTCTTAAGTAATTATTATGAGATACTAAGTCATAATTATGAGAAAGTAAGTCATAATTATGAGATATTAAGTTATAACTATGAGATACTAAGTGAAAATTATGATAGAATCTCATAATTGATCAAGTCATAATTATGAGATAATAAGCCATAAGAAGATGCAATGTCTTGATGAGATAGGATTTCATCATTATGATATAGCAAGTCATAAAAATAAGATGCTATGTCATAATTATGAGATAGTATGTCATAACTATGCAAAACTTTTTCATTATGATTTACTCATGGCTATGTATATTTTTCCAGTGGCAGAAATGGGCTTCCGTAATTATATGTGGTTTACTTTAGTCTCAGGTATCTAAGATACAGACTGCATCTAAACAAAGCCAGAAACAGTAAACCACCAGTAGAAGTCCATTCAGCGGTGCAGTACGTGTCTTGTCACACGTCTTGAATTGGCCCAGCCCAAATAGCTCACTGTGAAGCTGTTTAACATTTTCACTGTTGCTGTAAGGCTGCAGAAAACGTTGTTTCTCTGATTTATAGCTGGTGAACTCTTAATAAAACTCACTAAATTGTCCTTAGCCTGGCTGTACAGTTGTATTAAGAAAAACCTTTAATTGGTATATAACATTTGCATTGTGTAGAGGTCCCTTAAGCTTCAAAATGTTCTTCACACTCCCATCTCAGCTTCAAAAATGGATCTTTAAAGAACAATCCATTGCCAGTTTCTTTAGGGAACCAAAAGTGGATCTTCTGTGGCACCCACAAAAAAAACCTTGGTAACTTTATTTTTTTCTAGAATTTAATGTGATGTTTTTCATGCTATCTAATATTCTGTAGCGCAGCAGAGAATCCCTCAGTTTCATTAGTTTTACAGAATTCACAATATTTTACACTTTTTGCCTTTTTTCCATCAGTGTTCCCTCACTACACTACCCAGCATGCATTACACAAACATCTCATACAGCCGTTGTGAATCCCTCCACAGTGACAAAGAAATGCACTGATGCTGAGACTATAAATACAGATCTGATACCTGGCTTTCTATAAATAACATTAACTATTTGGCTTCCTCCTGCATTAGTGAGCTAGACAAGAAAAATTTCAAACACCTCGCCCTCATGTATCCTCTCCAAAGATACATCATCAGAAGGCTTTAAACTGGAAAATGTCACTCTAGAGACTACTGCAGCACCGTAAACAAGCATGTTTACAACAGATGTGGTGATGGTTACACTTTCCATTTTGGCCGGAGTGTCTCTTTAGGAGTGCATCAGGGTGCACTAATACTCTTTCAGGTGTACTTGTTTAAATTTATGTCTTTTAAATAGGCTGTTTAAAAGACAGTGTCAATGTGTAGGTTTGCTGAAGCACCATATGGAATGAGGGAATAAATGCGGACCAGACTCAGGAGGAATCAGGACCCCCACAGGACGAATAGAGAGCAGGTACTGTTTGGGTGGTGGATCATTCTCAGCTCTGCAGTAACACTGACGTGGTGGTGCTGTGTTAGTGTGTGTTGCGCTGGTCTGACTGGATCAGACACAGCAGTGCTGCTGGAGTTTTTAAATACCTCAGTGTCACTGCTGGACTGAGAATAGTCCACCAACCAAAAATATCCAGTCAACAGTGTCCTGTGGGCAGCATCCTGTGACCACTGATGAAGGACACAGTGTTTAAACTCCAGCAGCACTGCTGTGTCTGATCCACTCGTACCAGCACAACACACACTAACACACCACCACCATGGCAGTGTCACAGTGCTGAGAATGATCTACCACCCAAATACCTGCTCTGTGGTGGTCCTGTGGGGGTCCTAACCACTGATGAATGGGGAAAAGGTGGGATAACAAATCATGCAAAGAAACAAATGGACTACATTCTGTTGTAGAACTACAAAGTGCACCTATATGTAAGAGGAGCTGCTAAAATGGACAATGAGTGTAAAGACAAGGAGGTGCTCTTATTTTAAAATAGACCCTCTCCAGTCTTTGACAAAAACGTGATTAAAAAATTTTAGAGTAAAACACAAAATCAGGGAGGGTCTCTGAGAAATCTGACCATTTTCTCTCATTGATAGAAAGGGGTGGTGGAAGGAGGGGTAGTAAAAGATGATGCTATTGATGTATATTTTTTACCCACCTGTTGGTGCACAGTGATGTAATCAAAACACAGAAGACATTTTAGAAGCAAAACTTTTTTTTTCTTTTCTTTTTTTTTTTTTACATCTTTAAGAAAAATGGAAACATGAATTTAGTATTTTAGCTGGTATGATGAATCGTGCTTAAAGAGAATTTTTTTTGTATTTATTTCTGCATAATTGTTGAGATGTAAACAAAAAGCTATTCAGAGTGTGTTGCTGTGAAATGGCACACTGTAGAGAAACTTAATTCTTTATAATGGTGGTGATAGGAACCAGGGGTCATGATAGATACAATGCAAGTATAGCCATTTTATCTACAATTTAAAATATCCAGTGAACATACTTCTGCTTTGAGTTTGTATATGCGGAAAAAAAAAGTTTTCTTTGGGGACTATTTTGCTTTACATAGGCCCGCATGAACCTCTCCACCATGAACGGCATTTAAAAATGTTTTAGGCTAAAATTTTCTCAAAATTGTAAAAGAAAAAAAAACTGTAAAACAACTTCTCAGGAATCAGATAATATATGTGTAACCATTTCAGGTAAAAGCTTCTGTGAGGTAGCTTGTAGAAGCTTTAAATACTTCAGACGTCTGGTTCCCATCATCGCTATTGTGAACAATTCTGACTTGGTAAGTTTCTCTAGAAAGGTGTTATTTCACAGCAGACTATGAACAAATTATTCAGAAATTTTGGAAAATTGGTGGAATGTCCCCTAATATGGACAGATGAAAACAGGAAAAAACATAGCCAGGTGTGATGAATCTCAATTTCTGCTGAGGCACGCAGATGGTAGGGTCAGAATTTGGCACCAAAAGCACAAATCCATGGACCCAACCTGCCTTGTGTCAACAGTCCAGGCTGGTGGAGGTGCTGTAACAGAGTAGGGAATGTTTTCCTTGGCACGCTTTGGGCCTGTTAATACCAATTATCACTTGAATACCACTGCCTGCTTGAGTATTGTTGCTGACCATGTGAATCCCTTCATGGCCACAATTTACAATCTTCTAATGGTTACTTCCATCTTGATAATGCACCATGTCACAAAAGAAAAATAATCATAAACTGGTTTCATGATCATGACAACGAGTTCAGTGTTTTTCCATGGCTTTCCCAGTCACCAGATCTGAATCCAATAGAATTGTAGTAGGACGGGAGATTCACAGCAGGAAAGTGCACCTGAAAAATCTTTAAGAATTGCACGATGCAATCATATCAACATGGACCAGAATCTTAAAGGAATGTTTCCAACATTTTGTGGAATCCACGGCATGAAGAATTGAGGCTGTTTTGAGAGCAAAGCTAGGCCCTACCCAGTATTAGTACAGTGTTTCTAATAAAGCGCTCGGTACGTGTATAATAAATCTAAAATAAAACTAAACTATGTAATAGTCTTCTGTGACTGTGGCCTTTGAATAAGTCTAAACATTAAAGTCATGTGCAGATGTGAAACAAGTTTTAAACTGCCATATTTGTTGGTTGTTGGCTGATAAAAACCACATAAGAACTCAAGTAATTCGTCTAGAAGCTTTATTGGTGCTTGTTTACATTTCACAATGCATTCCACTGAGTTCACCACGACTGTATGAAGTATCATTCACAATTACTTGCATAACAAACAATGCTTTAAGTTTTCATGTTACATAATTTTGCAGCTGTAGGTATTGGGTCCACAAATAAACAACTTTAAATATTTATTTTTAAGTCAACGTCTGTAAACGTGTTCTTCCAGAGATTTCACGATATAGCTGCAATGAGGTGAAATGATGTCTCGATATATGCTCTTAATCTTGCAAGATTCTATTTGCCTAGAAATACTCAGAAGCATGAAGTGCTATGGAGCAACTCTTTGCTAGTACTTTAACACAAGAGCCACTTTAAAGAGCGAGAAGCTTCGTGAAAGTCTACACAGTTAATCAATAAAACAGTACAATCACAGTAACACTAAATCATACCAAAAATGGACAGATACCGAGATTTTTTGCCCAAAAAAAATGGTACCATTGAACACTCCCTCATTAAAAAACAAAACAAAAAAAAAAGACATATTTAAATTATTTCTGAAATACATGGGGATTTAGAAAATAACAAAACCAGTTAATGGAATACTATTTCTGCTTAGAAGTGTGCGACACTCAGTGTAAAGATGTTATTCGCTCATTTATAGCAGTCAGTGTCTCAAGAAAAAAATGTAGTGGCTCAAATGGTTTACAACTTCATCGTAGTGACCTTTTGGGGAAAGGAAGGAAAGACAAGGGAAAAAAAGGACTCATAAGCATGGTTTTTCCACAGGGTGTGAGGGTTTCAGTAGGAGAAAGAGATGTATGAAAATAACAGTGTAGAGGAGGGCACCACACCCTGATCCTCAGAGCAACCCCACCAGCCTTAATGTGACAGACTCCTTTCAGCATGACTGCCCTTTACTCTTCACTCAGCCTTCTTCTTTGCACCAGGCATTTTCGCCTGGATCCTACAGAAAGAAAACAACAAGAGACGACAGATGCTTAGAAATCTGAAGAGTTTTAACAAATCGTCTAAAAAAGTGAGCTTTTTAAATCATATTCAATCATTAGGTCACAAGACGTCTTCTGGTAAAACAACAGAAAATCCTAATTTGATCATAAATAAAAGTATGGAAATTACATGCAATAAAAAC